AGATGTATGAGGACTTGGAACAAACTGTCAGATTTCAAATAAAACACAAATATGCAAATATTGCTTTTCCCCTTCCATTCAAGTAATAAAAAGCAAGATGACGTAAACTTATTCAGAATTAGAACTGTGAGGTAAGATTAGCTTATTACCTTTAAAAAGAACTTTACTTATTACATATGGGTAAGGGGGGGTTAGGGGTTGCAGAGAAGAGTAGCAGGTGCAATAAAATGATTAGGTTTTCAGGATGATAGTGTAAATTCCCAAATGACTTAGATTAATAGCAGGAAATGATGGAAATGTGCATTCATTCATCTATTTCAGTCTCATATACCCCCTGACACTAAATAAATATAATTGATAATGATATTAGATGTTTCTTCCAATTTAATAAGTATATATTATTGTCGCCCTAGTCTTCAGTAAAATAAATTATCAGATCACTCCAAAGAGTAGCAAGAAATTAGGCAAAAGCTCATCTACATATGAGTAATTTAATATGAGTGATAAAAGCTGTTTTGTATTGCTGATAGTGCCCTTTCCCCCTTTATAAGTTCAAAGTCAATTCCTGTTTTTATATGCCCACAAACTTTATCACTTAACTTCAAAAGATACTATGTAATAAAAACAATACCTGTAGAACTCAATGCTTGATGATTGACATGGAAAACTTTCATCTCCACAAATTGATAATTATGAAAATAACTGTGTTATTTCATGACCCTTTTAAATGGAACAAAGTTCGATTCACTATGCAATTTTCAGTCCAAATTTATCACCAATATAACTCTCCAAAAATGATTTGACTAACAAACATACTTACAGTCCAGGTTATACAAAGATTTGTTTTAAATTCTACTAGTAATAAATGTCCTAGAATATAGGAAGATAATCTATTGTCAGAATAGGTGCTTTGAATTTAACTCCTGGTTATGATGGACCACACGTACGTATTCACACAAATTCTGACCAGAGATATACAACTAGGAGATGCTGGCCAGAGCAAAGGGTATAGATTAAAGCCATGAAACAGCTTTTCTTTTAGCTAAATCTAGTGGCCTGTATGGCCATAAGTAATATTTTCAAAATGGCACTCTATCACACCGCAGGCCCCCAAATTGAGGCCATATTACAAACTAATTAGTCCATCCCTAAACTTGCCTTGATAGTATATGACTTTTCTCTCCATACAAAAGAGAATTTTCTTTCCATCTTAAAAGAAAAATAGAAGGCTATCAATTTGATGGCTCAATTTTTGCCACCTAAAAATCTTAATTTGCTCTTAATTTTGTTTTGATAAAATAGGCCCTTTTTGTAATGAATGCTGGAAATTTGATTCCTTGTTTATGTAATATTTAATTTCCTCATAAGGAACAGTAAACAATCACTGTGATTTACCTTACATGTCATATCTAATAATCACTATATGCATTTGGAAAAAAAATACTATCATCAGTCTTCATTTCCTAAATAACACCAAACTTTTAAAAGACATACATAAGTACACATGCATATCTATGTCTATATGAATTTTTATACCCTGGGAATGAAGTAAATTCTCTAAATTAATATTTGTTAATATTATAGTACCATAAAATTATACAAGCCATATTCTACTGCAATGAACCCAAGCTATCAAATTTCTTATTGTATAAAAATACTGCCTGAAATTCATGACCTATTACTTGTCAGATTTCTGTTATGTTATTCAGAGCAAAGACACATGACCTAAAGTTACATTTTTATTTAGTTTTGAATTTTTAAAAATTTTGCAACAAACACCACTTGGTGGTTTACCAAATCAAAGTAACATTTTTTTTTCTTCCTGGAGTATTCCCTATTGAAAGGCATTATCGTATTTTAGTCCCTCAATGCACGCATATGCCTTCTCCCCTTCCCTCCTGGGGCTTGGCTACTGGGTACAGAATGTCCACCAGTTCATTTATTTTTGGAAATGTTTTGTTCCTCAAGCAGAATGATGAAGAGCCCAAATAAGCCTATCTCAATCTTGCTGGGGAAAATATATGGCTAGCTTCCAAAAGCTATTTCTCCCACATTTCCCAAGTTCAAACCTTGAAAAGGCAGAATCCGTATAGTGGATCAAATACCAGACTTGAAATAAGGACAAACTGGGCTCAAACTCTATATCCAACATTTTCTAGATGTGGGATTCTGTTCATTTAACCATTCTATGCCTCAGTTTCCTCATCTGTAAGATGAGGGAGCTGAACTCAATGGCCTCTAAGGTCCCTTCCAATTTTAGACTATGATCCTATGATGACTCAATGTCAAAAATTCAAAATAAGGGGAAAAAGCACAGAAGATTGACTAGAACTTGTCAACATTCCATATTTATTTGTCTTGCCACAACGTACTAAAAACAAAATGCCTAGAAAGCAACATTTTTCCTTAGACGCATGCCAAGTTCATAATGCTGCCAAATGCGTAGTCACAACATAGCATCAAATGGGTTCAATATCTAAGGTTGTTTGCAACAATATTTCACAAGTTTAAAAATGGCATTTCCTCTGTTATCTTGTTACAGAATTTCTTTTAAGGAAGGACTGTTAGCACAGTCTTTTCTCTCCAAGGCAAAAGCTGAAAAAACTTGGGAAGGAGTCTCTTGATACAGTAAGGGGTTAAATCTTAAAATCTTCCCCAGCTAAATCTGTTTTCCTATTATACCAGTATTTCACTTATGTGGAGGTCACTTATTTGGCAACAATACAGCAGTGAACCATTAATCATTACATTATCCGTAAAGCACTTCTTTTTCAGCTCTAAATTCTATGATTCCATGAACCAGAAAGTAATGCAAAAAAGCCTCTGAGCAACCCAAACAGGCATCACTGTCTATGTACTGGAGCACCTAAACATTATGCTCATAGAAGAGCCCCTCTGGTTCTCATTTACAGACTATTTATCTTTATTTTGTACACAATTCCAATAAGCTTGCTTAATTGGTTTCATAGCCCAAAGCAGGTCAGAACCAATAAATTAGAAAAGAGAAGGTAGGGCCTAGCTAGTAGCAAGCACACTGCGGAGAAAAAAAAAAAACCAAGACAAGAAGTGACAGCTTGATAGTAAGGGAAAGGATAGAAAAAGGATAGACAAAAACTAAAAATTTAGAAGCCAATTCAGAGCTTTACAGTGTGGGATAAAAATAGCCCTATGTTACCCAAGGATACTACTACATTGCATCAGATCATAACATTTTATTTTTATAATGACAATCTTGTGTTATTAAACATTATATTCTAAGAAGTCAGATAGATTTAGAAAGCTTTCCATTAATTTTTTTTTAAGTTAGGACATTTAAAGAAGTAGTACATTTAAAGTTATGTAGAAATTTTATCTGGAATACACATTATGCCAGATAAATTAAATGCCACTGTATTCTTGCTATGTGATTCTTTGTTAATTGGGGGAGGGTGGAGAATAAACACCCTTTAATAAGAGATAATTTGGATCAAAGCCTCCTAAGGAAAGAAGCTACTATGATTTATAGTAGTACTTTTAGAATATAAATATGAACTGGTTTGAGGTGGAGAGGGAGAGGGCATCTGATAAAGGAACTGTATTCAATTTAATTGAACAAATCTGTATGAAACACACACTGTATGCTGACTGTACTAGAGATTCAGAAATGACCCTGAGGAGCTTGTAATACAGGAGGGAAGTGAGACATCTACAATGACGATAACACAAAATTCATAAGGTCATAGATCTGCAGTTGGAAAGCAGCCAAGGGGCCGCTTCGGCCAATTCTGAATTTTTATAGATGACAAATCTGAGGTTCAGGGGGGTTGAGTGAGTTTCCCAGATTTACACAGGAGAGAAGGCTGAGATTGGAAGCAAGGGCTCTTTCTATTGCTCCAAGTAATAATGTAATGAAATGAGTAGAGGAAGTCACACATCAAGGCATAAGAGATTCAGGGGGGGAAGAACTGTTTCCAGTTGAGTGAATCAGAGAAGGCTTTATGGAGGGGGTAGTAACTGGGCCAGGCCTTGAAAAAAGATGATGAGGGGAAAGTATGTTCAAGAAATAAACAAGAGAGTGTGCACTAATACATCCAAAGGCAGGAGATATCAAGATGATGGGAGGAACAAAGTAATCTAATCTGGTCTGCATGTAGATAAGATGAACAGAGTAGGGGGAAGTAAAGCTAAAGATAGGTTCAAGTCAGATTGTGAAAGGCTGTGAAATGTTTGTAAGAAATGTATATTTTATCTCGTAGAATATGGAAAGTTCTTTGGTCCTGTGTATTTCAGTACATTACTTTGGCAATCTTGGGAAGAATGGGTCAGAGGGAGATCTAGAGACCAAAAGACTAGTTGAGAGTCTGGAGTCCAGAAGTCTAGTTAGGAAGGAGATGGGGTGGTGGAAATGTAGGGGGATTCTTAACCTTTTTGTGTGTCATGGACCCCTCTGAACCCCTTATCAAAATAATGTTTTTAAAAGCATTAAATATATACAATTACAAAGGAAATTAAAGGCTAGTGAAAATAAATATGTATTTTTTTCCCTACAAACCCTAGGTTAAGAAACTCTGAGTTAGGAGGCCATTTATTGGTACACATTAGAGCTGATCAGGGACTTAATAGGAATAGTGGAATTTTAAGTGGAAAGGAAGGAATAGATATTATTATGATGTTGTGGAGGTATATTCTATAGTCCTTAGTAATTCACTGGAGTGTGGAATGAGGGAGAGGTAAATGTCAAAGATGACTTGGAGAAATGAAAATTGCATCACCAAAAATATGGAAGTTGTGAGGAGCAAGCTTTCCCTAGTTGGGGAAAGAACATTTAACTATCTGAAAGAGCAAAGTATTTTCACCATAATATATTAAAAGTACTTACAGTACAACTCTAAAACAAAATAATTTTACTCAACTTTAAAAATTTAACTTCATTATCTGTAAAAAAAAAAAAAAGAACACCTGATCTACTTACTACAAAATGAAATGATTAATCAGAATAATTGTTTTTTCTTCCCTTTTAGGAGAGAATTCTGCTTAAGCCAAAATTTCAAACATAATGAAATAGCATGGATTATGTAAAAGGTCAGCACTCAGAATACACGGATCCTATCTAATGTCAAACAACAGATGAATATTTTTTAATGTAACCTTCTAAAATTTCTGAAAAAAATTTGATAAAGTTAGCTGAAAAGAGGTGCAATTTGATTAATTTGGGACAAATCATAAGAAAATAAGACCTATCAAAAAGTAGTATTTCCCAAATAATGGTATTTTCATACTGAAATTCAGCTAACCTCTAATACTTACAGAAAACAATAAAATAAGATTTAGGGATGAAAGGGACCCTTAGGGACCAGTTAATTCAACAGCTCCATTTTCTTTTTTTAAAAACGAATTTTACTGATGCTTTTGTTTTCACATGAGTCACTTCCTGCCTCCCTCCAGACTGAATCTTTCTTTGTGACAACAAAAAAATAACTAAGCAAGAATATGCAATACAAAGACCACATCTGATAATGTATGCAATATTCTATTATGGCAATTCCTCACCTACATTGTGGGAGGAGGAAGTATGTTTCATTATATTTTCTGAGACTGTCACTGTTCTGTCATTATGCTTTTCTCTTCAGTTACCCTGCCCATACCTAATCAGTTGCTAAGTTTCATCAATTATACCTCCAAATTACCCACATCCACTTCTTTCTCTCCATTCAGCCAGCTAGTACTCAAGCCCTCATCACCTCTCACCTGGACCACTATAATAGCTTTCTAACTGTTCCTTCTGCTTCCAGTTTCCTTACCTCTTCTGACTTTAAACAGCGGCCAAAGTGATATTTGTAAAGCATAGGTCTGAGAAGTTTGCTTACTCTGCTCCAAAATCTTCAGGCACTCCCCTTTGTATCTATGGTCAAATCCCTCTGCCATTTAAAACCCTTCACAGCCTGGATCCAATCCATGTTTCCTGAATTGATTTCACATTACTCCTCTTATGCACTCAGCCAAACTGGCCTACTTCCTATCTTCTATTCAAGACAGGACATTTCACCCCATATGTGTTTGCACAGGCTACTCTCTCCTCCGGGCCTTGAATAAGCTCCCCTCTCCTCACCTGCAGCTATTGGAATCCTGAGCTTCCTTGAAGGCATAGCCCAAGTGTCACCTCCTACAAGAGGAAGCTCATTCCAGTTCTTTCAGCTAAGAGTATTTTCCTTTTACTCCCAAAGTACTTCATATGTACTTTGTATTGATTTATCTGCATATATGGTGTTTCCCCTCACAGACTGTAAACCCCTTGGTGGCAGTTTTATTTTTGTCTTTGTATCCTTAGTGTCTGGCAATAGTACCTGGTGCATAGTAGGCACTCAATAAAGAGAGTTCAGATTTTTATTTTACATTGTTATAATCATGTATATAATTGTCTCATTTTGTTTATTTTGGTTTGCATCAGTTCACACAAATCTTTTCATGATTCACTGAATTTCTCATATTTTCCCTTCTAACTGTACAATATCTCATTATAATTATATACCATAGTTTTTCCAGCCATTCCTCAATCGATGGGCATCCACTTTGTTTCCAGTTCTTCGTAACCATGGGGAGTGCTGATATGAAAATCTGCAACTTTCTCATTTTACAGAGGAGGAAATGGAGGCCCAGAGAAGTTAAGTAACTTACCCAAGGTAATACAAATATAGAAGTAGAGAAGAGCCAGAGTTTAAACCTAGGTCTTTCTTTTTTCAAGTACACAAAAAATCAATTTGAACATCTTCAAATTTATAAGATAACAGAATTATTTACATTTCCATTTAGACAATATGTTTTTACTCCCTAACATAATAGGATCATAGATGTACAGCTGAAATGGACCATGGAAGGCACAAAGTCTAAACCCCTCATTTTACAGATAAGGAAACCAAGGTTAAGTTAGGGAATTCCTGAGGATCATGGGGCTAGTGTGTGAAGTGGGATATGAACCCAAGACCTATACTTCTCAAAAACCACTATATCCTTTTTTCTAGGTACTCCATAAGAACATTCAGCAATTAATTAAGGTGACATCCAATATTCAAAATCAGTAGCTAAAACTGATCTTTACCACTTCTAAGAAGCAAAAGGAAGAACAGCAAAGGCATGGTGGTGGTAAGGGAAACAAGGGTCTGGGTAATCTACTTTGGAAGGTCTTATCGTGAAATGAGCTAAGTATATCATGCAACCTTCTTTCCCTACTTTTCTCTCACTTCACAGTCCCATTCAATCCTCTTAAGAAAAAATGTATTATACTTTGAATTTTTCAGTTGGAAAGTGCTGGATTCTTGTCTCTGACAACTCCAGAATATGTGTATATGAACCAAGATGTTGGACTCCCTGACCAAAGGATCCAAATTCTAAGGTTAAAATTGGAATATACTGCCTAACAAAACCTGGGCAGCACATATATTCTCTAAATACCTCCTCCTGCTTCTCATTTACTAAAGGACAGATTCTTGGTGTGTTGCCTATACACCCTTCTGCTGATCCTTATCCCTGTACTCCACACCAATTTTACCCTGGGCATCCAATTTGGGGAGTTAAACCTCAATTAACTTGGGTAGCATAAAAACACTTCAATGAAACGACTGAGACCTGCAAAGGAAAGGACAGACTGATATACACTAGTAATGATGAGAACAAAAACACAGAACCTTGTCAAGCTTTTCCTTTTCATCCATTAGAAGGCTAAAAGGACTATTTGTTACAATCTTCATCTTAGCAATTTCCCATTGGCCAGCCACTTTCCTTACGTGGCTGAAAGATAGAAAGGAAAGGGAGAATACTCAGCTCAATTCCCCTTTATTAAACCACCATGTGACTACTTCCATCATACTTCATCTAAACCTAGAAGATCTAGATAGGCCCAGCCTCACTGATTAAAAAACATACAAACACCCCCAAACCAAACATAGATCCCTTAAAGCTGGTAATTTTTAAAAGGGGGACTTTCATAGCCTAATAGGGCCTTAACCACTACATCAGTAATATGACTTTAAAATTCAGGATTTGGTTCGCTGTGAAAAACAAACAGTACACAGGGTGTGGGACTGCTTCCTCACCGTTTCCTTTAAACCTTGAAGCCACAAGAGCTTTTTAGACATGTTTTCCCTCCAAACTCATAAAAGTTCCTGGGCAATTTTGGAAGCACTGGAGACAGCACATGTGTGTAGGTTTAGACTAAGAAGAGGGGAAGAAGAAAGGGAGATAAAGGGAAGATTTTGGTTTATTTTTAAAAGGAATGGGCATTTTTTTCCAACCACCTAAGCAGGAAATCTTTCAGCTATAAGAGGCCTCATGACTGAACAAGAGGCCTCAGGACTCAATAGAAAGGAGTGGCCAAAGAAAAGAGGTAGGAATTCATGGGAGAGGTATCAGATGGTTTAGTATAGGCAAAATTAAGTAAAGAGTCAGCTCTACCTACACCTCATATAGCTTTGCTGTGAGTAAAATTAATTTTGCTGTAATAATATGAGTTATCTCCAGGTGAAAGAAAATGAGTTTATTCTAGGAAACTAATTTGCTAAATGACTACTATTATAGAAGATATAAGCATTTAAGATAGAAAATTAAGGAGACATCAGGGAAAAGCCTATGATAATATGCTCATGCTACATAAGCCCCCTTCCTACTAGACCAAATCTTGAAGTTACCTGATAACCCTTTTGTATCTATTTTAAGGGCCCTGCCATTTTGAAACACCTAATACACCCCAGGGAAGAGAAGGAACTCATCTACTGAGCAGTAAGGAAGATTATGGCTCCTTATACCTGTAACCATTGGAGGAAGAGAGAGGTAAAAGTGGTTTTTTTTTGGGGGGGGGGGTAGGTACTGTAAAATGGAGTACTCTCTTTCCCTGTTTCTCACTTGATTTTTTTTGAAAAGAAAGACTGCCAGGAAATGACAGAAAAAATCTAGAGAATCCAGGGGAAAAGAAAAAATTTAAATAAAATACAAAAATGGCAAAGTTAAAAAGTAACAAAAATATCTGAAGCATGTTTGAAAGTAAAAATCTGTAACATTTCATAGATTATTCTGGCCTATGTTAATTCAACTAAAGCAAATTGATCATTTTTTCAACTCATCTCTTTGTTTAGGGCTCTTGCTAGAAAAAAAGCCAAAATAGGTTGTATTAATACAATGAATGGTTCTTGGAATAAGAAAGTCTCTTTTGATATATATAGCATTCTGCAAATTTTCACTGTCTTAACATACTCCACATTCATTAGTTTTATCAGGGTTATCAGTTCTCAATTATTCAGAGCCCGTTTATTTGTGAATATCCTCCCTCCCCTTCACCATTCCTCTCATTAGCATCTTTAGGGAGTGATCAGGTGAGGAGTAATCAAGACAGATCAAAATTTGTATTTTTCAAACTCTTCAGGTCCATTAAATATGCTTTTGGAGGGAGAGAATGGAAGGGAGGAAACTAAATTATCTAAAATCAGTCTTTTGCATTTTCTTTAAATTACTTTTAGTTTATCCACTGTTAGTCTAAGAGTAAAATTTTGAAAGTATGTCTCCAAAAGACGCCACAAAAGCCATAGAATGTTAAAGATGAAAGGGACCTGTGAAATCATCTCCAACTTTCTGATTTTACATGTGAGTAAAGTGAATTTATACCAAGTTTAAAAAACAAAATGAAGCAGGGAACTATGTTTGATTTGAAAGAAAAAAAAAGTTTTACTTTGCCCCTCTTAAGAGCAAGCCTTTATATAATCTACAATGTGATTCACTGATTTTCTCCACAATTAAAGCCTAGCTTAATAAGAAATGGCAGGTTCCTCCCCTCCCCCCCCAAAAATTCTCATTACAGATTAAAATATTTTACAGCTCAAGTAAAAGTTCAATGACCTTTTAAAAATTGACAAAAATAAAACATTTAAATGTAATCTCTATCTTATAGAGACAGTAATAAGAGACAGCTTGGTATAAAGGACAGGGAGTTAAGAACACCTGGATTTAAATTCCTCTTCTGAGATATATTAACAGTGTTACTATAGGTGAGTCTCTTAATGTGTCATCCTCCCCACCCCCACTCCCACTATAAGTTGCAGAGAGGCAACAGAATTCATAGGGAGAGGCAGTTTCCTTACACTGGATTCCATAAATAAGTAAGGCACAATGAATGGTTCTCAGAATAAGAATAAGAATTCTCAGAATAAGAAATTACAGGTCAGGTTTAGTAGGGCTGAGAGGTACCTTTGACTGTGAATGTTAATAGTCCAACATGAAGAAGGAGCCCCAAGGTGTATCTGGGAGGGGTCCTGGTGGATTTCGACTGGAGGATTCACAGAAGTTCATATCCTAGGGTTATGGCTAACAGATCCTATGAGTGTGAGGTAGGTCCCCCAAAATGGCCAAAAAGGGATATGAGTTGTGGCTGTTGAGGCCTGGATGGGGTGTGGTCTGGAAGAGGTCCTGGGTTATAAAGGTCAGTATTTCTGTGGAAGGTGGCCTTGTAAAGCTTTGGCTGGGGTGCCTGTTGCTCTAGGATTGTGGCAAATAGCTTCTGGGAAACAAAGATCATCACTCAGTTGTGGGTGGTGGCTGAAAGGGGTCCTGAGCTATAACCCTCCATTCCAGTGGTAGAATGTAAGCTCCTTGAGGACAGGGACTATTTTTTTGTTTTGTCTTTGTCTCCTCAGTGCTAAAGGACAAACAACAACAGCCTAGCATATAGTAGATATTTAATAAATGTTTGTTGGATTAGATTGGTCAGGACAAAAACCATTTAAAAAAAAGAGGAGTGTAAAAAAAGGTCATATGACTATAAAATAAGACACATCCCCTTTAATATCTATATCCAAAAGAGGTAACATGGTATAGTAATGTTAGATGACTTGGCTCTTGATAGGTATGTGAGCCTGGGCAAATCACTTAATTTCTCTAAGTCTCAGTTTCCTCATTTACAAAGCAAGGATAGTAATATTTACATTAGTTACTTTACAAGGTTACTACAGTAAAGAAAGTGCATAAACTATTAAGATGTTAAATAAATGATTTACTATTAGTATCTATAAAAGTATGGGCTGGCATACACATACATGTTTTATACAGCTTAGGTTTTCGAGCAGTTCTTTTGCATTTATTTTATTTCTGTAACTATTTCCGTAAAAGTAAAGGAAAAAAAAACAAAACAAAACCCAAAACCTTCCTTTTTAAGTTCACTTTTTAAAAGCTACCCTTAAATTTCATGTACTTTTTTTTAGGAGGTTTAAACAAATATTTGTTCAAACTATGGTGAAGAGAAAGTGCCTGGAGGATAAAAAATGAACCAGCTGGATGCAACAAAGTCAGGATTTTTAGTGTGCATTGGTATTTGCATTTTTATCTTCATTTTTCTTTATGTGAGGAATACAATTCCAGATGAATCAAAAGAAGAACCAACCTACCCAGAATCGACAGACTGTGGCTTTTATCCAGATGAAATATGTTCAGCCCTTTTTGAAGGGAAAGGGGCTGCCCCTCAAATTGGACAACTCTGTCAGCAAAACACTCACCAACCTGAAATAACCCCTTGCCTAGGGACACCAGGCACCTGTAACTGCTCTCTGATTTTTCAGGGGCTGCATTTCATAACAAGACCCTTGTCTGCAGAAGAGGGAAATTTCTCCTTGGCATATATCATAACCATTCATAAGGAATTAGCTATGTTTGTGAAACTTCTCAGAGCTATTTACGTCCCTCAGAATGTTTACTGCATACACATTGATGAAAAATCACCCCAGAATTATAAAACTGCAGTGAAAAACCTGGTTGACTGTTTCGAAAATATTTTTATTTCATCAAAGAGAGAGACTGTGATTTATGGTGGATTTTCAAGACTACAGGCAGATATTAATTGTATGAAAGACCTAGTGAGCTCCACATTTCGGTGGAAGTATGTAATAAACCTTTGTGGGCAGGATTATCCAATCAAGACAAACAAAGAAATCATACAATATATCAAAAGCAAATGGAATGGTAAAAATGTGACTCCAGGAGTAATTCAGCCCGCGCATATGAAATACAGGACACACCAAAGTTACAAAGAATATGTTCATCAGGGAAATTCTTATGTTTATCCAACTAAAAAAGAAAAAAAGGATCCCCCGCACAATTTAACAATATACTTTGGAAGTGCTTATTATGTACTGACTAGGCAGTTTGTTGAATTCACACTGACAGATGTCAGGGCAAAAGACTTGCTTGAGTGGTCAAAAGATACATACAGCCCCGATGAACATTACTGGGTTACACTGAATAGATTAAGAGGTAAGATGAATGCTGGGCTGTCTGGGTTCTAGGGGAACAAGAACTGATAGTAGGAAGCAGTTCAGCTCCAGCTAAGTTTCATTCCATTTCAAACTTTATCCATTCCAACAATTTCTCCAAGAGCTCTTTAAGTTGCTGCCAAATGTGATGTGCATCCCATGGTAGGAGTAACAAGGCGCATCTCTTTATCAATGGTATAAAACCAGCCAAGAACAAGGCTTCAAAACCTTTGGAGTTGGCTCTCCTCCCTCCTTTTCCCAAACAATTATACAGAATTCTCAAAAGCCTCAATTTAAAAGTTATGAGACTACCCTAATACAAATCTTCTGGAATGCTATTTAGAATAGAAATGCTATTTATAATAATGTTTGTGGCTATTACTTTCTTTGAGCTATGTTTTGGGAGCTTCCAAATTTAATCAGCTATTTAGGAAAAGGAATTTAAAACAAGGATATTAAATTTATTTTCCTCTATATTATCTTTTAAAGAAATCTGTTTTACAGTTTTCCCAAGTCTCAACAAAAGAAAACTGGCACATGATAGTAGACTTAAAAAGAAAAATCCTTTTGTTGCAACAGTTAAGGATCTATTTTGTGTTCAAGAAGCAATTTCTCTTTAGTAAGGCTAACTGGTCCATATTGGATTTAAATTGGAATGACAATGACCAGTTGCTCTGATCCAATACCAAAAGACAACATTTTAGAAACTCAGAGGTGATAAAATAATACACAAAATGTATCATTAACTTGAATGACAATCTTGGATTTACTCCTCTCTCATACTAGTTAATTCTTTTTCAAAAGATTAACAAGCATTTGTTTTTTTCTGTTTTTTTTTGTTTTATTTTTTTTAACAAGCATTTGTTAAGCACTTACTATGGGGTGGGCATTTGTTAGGCTCTGGGAATACAAAGAAAAAATGAAACAGTAACTGATTTTTAGCAGACTACTATGGAAAACACATTATTGGGCAAAGTGCTCTATAAATGTTATGTGATAAGGGCAGAAGAAATGAAATCTAAATACATAGCTATGTTATTTGGTGAGGTCAATTATTTTTTCTTCTACCTTGGAAAAGTTAGACATCGTCATTTTGGTTTTCCTTTAGTAAACTAAAGGACTCCTAAGACTCCTAACAGGCATATTCTGTACTATTTATGAGAGAGTTTAAGAAAATAATTAGAAAAATAGCCATTCTGTTTATGCAGCTAAAATGGATAAAATGCAAGTTTAATGGATAAGCATTATGATGATTCTTCATGGTTTAAACTAATGTTAAGAAAGAATATTAACTACTGAGTTCTTTTAGTGGTCCTGGACCCTCATATATCATTGTCAGCTGTTAACAAAAGGGGCTGCAAGTTTGATTTCTTTTTCTCCTTTGCAGAAGCAATGATTTCACTTGAGGGCAAAACAAGGCAAATATTCCTTCTTAATCCTACAAAAAAGAGGAAATGAAACTGATAGAGAAGTCCTTAAAGGGAATAATGTTTAGTTAGGATTCACAGAATTCAGGGTTGTGATGAACCTTAGTGATCATCTAGTCTAGCTTTATCATTTAACAGATGAGGAAACTGAGGCCCAGAAATCATTTGATAACTTGTTAATAGGTCATATGGACAATAAGAAGCAGACAGGGTTCAAATCCAAATTCTCTTAATTCCAAATTTAGCATTCTTTCTATTAGACCATGTGGTATTTTTTAACTCCCTCGCCCAACAAAATATAAACAAAAAATATAAAAATACCAACTACTGTTAATGACTTCCCACATATATCTTTAAATTCTGCTCTAAAATATCAATTCACTAGTTCTTGAATTGAGGAAGGAAAAGTATTCTTTGGGGATAATTATGGTTATTTTTAATCTTCCCCAACTGAAATTGTCTTTTTTTTTCTTCTTAGATGCTCCAGGTGCTACCCCAAATGCTGAGTGGGAAGGACATATTCGGGCTATTAAATGGAAAGATATGGAAGGAGTTGTTCATAATGGCTGCAAAGGTAATATTAAATGTCAAATTATACTTAAATATACAGTTATCTCTGAAAGATTGTGGAGAACATAAAAGTGGTATAGAAATAGAAAGAAGGGCAAATGTTCTGACTTTAAGTGGGAAAACTGTAGGGTCTATAACCTATAGACTAGTAAATTTGATTTCAAATTGCTACTAAAGTTCTAAAATACACTATTATGAGTCATTAAGAACAGGTCAAGTCAGACTAAACTCTTCTGCTTCTTCATTTTTTTTTTTAACAAGGCAGAGATACTGGTAAGCAAGGAGAATGCTGTGTATGTAGTTTAGCTGGATTTTAGCAAAGTACTAGCCGAAGTTTCCCTGTGCTCCTCTCATGGGAGACATGTGAGAGAGATGGCAGAGTAGGTATGTGGATTTAGAACTGGCTGAATGGCTGCTCGCATTTCACCTTGGAAAAAAGCTTGAGTTATCAATGTCTGGGACTAAAGTAAAGACAGCATGTTTATTAAATTTGTAGGGGTGGGAAGAGGCATGAGAACTGTGTTCAAGTATTTGAAGTACTGTCATATAGAATAAAATACCATCAGACTTCCTTTGCTAGGCTCCAGAAAGTCAATAGTGGATGCAGGTTACAGAAGTAATAGATTCCAACTTGAAAGAAACACTTCCTACAAATCAGAGTTGCTTTGGGAGTTGAGGTTACCTCTCACTATAAGTCTTCAAACAAAAGTTGCATATCCACTTCTCAAATATGTTATGGAAGGGTTTCTTGGGAAGGCATGTGTTATGCAAGGGAGTCTCTGAGATCCCTTGCAACCTTGAGGTTCTGTAATATTCTATAATCTTCAAGTGGCACGAGAATAATAAAAGCACCGACTCTTAAATAGTACTGTTACACTTGCCAAGAACATCTAATAAATAAATTGCATATCATCTTATAAACTAGTGTTTAATATTTAACTAGGATAGATATAATTATTAAGGCTTTATAATAAAGCAGTTGTCAACCTGTCTCTTCTAGTTCCCTTTATGTGTATCAATACTGCAGAGAAAGAGTAGAATATGATTTTAAAATTAGGTTTAAGGTGCAATATTGTTTAAATTTTGGTTCAAAAATTTTGATTCAAAATGTTTAATGTGCAAAATTCAACTTCCCACCAATGACATACTGCAAAGTTATGTTTCTGTCCATTAAATGAATAGTCAGTGGCATTCTTAAGGAGGAAAAAAAGTCAAATTCATTTATTTACCTGAGTTAAACATGTTAAAAAGACCTCAAAATGGATTGAAAAGAAAAAAAAAATTATTCCTGTCTTTAAAGGAGTTTACTATATTTAGTTGGAGGAACTGATACAAATATAGGATATAACAAAACAAATTTCATTGTGTATGAGTTATTTGAGCAAGATGCCTGAGAGAGAAAATTCTACCCAACCAAGGACATCTATAGACCATTTATACACTAAGCATTTTTTAGAGTCAGCCATTTCTGACTATAGTTAATCTCCTATCCATAGAAAGGAAGGACAACATAATAGTAGCTAACATTTAGATAGCACCTTAAGATCTACAGAACACTTTACAGACACTAGCTCACTTGATTCTCCCAACAACCCTGTGAACTACATAGTGCTATTACCATCCCCATTTTACAGGCTGGGAAACAAGCTCTGAGACTCTGAGTGGCTTGTTCATCATTGTATGAGCACTCCCTACGTGACAAAGCAAGATGTGAATCTGGGTCTCCTGACTCCACATCTTGCACTCTATACATTATAGCACACTGCCTTTCACCATGATGTAAATAGCCTATTTACTTATTCTTATGTTACACAGAGTTTGATTTGTATATGTTGAATCAGTTCTAGAGAATGAACTTGCAAATTCACAAGTTCAAATTCAGTGCTATTCTTCATTTGATTATGATACACTGGTCATGCAAATGAATCAGGTGCACCAGGCCAAGGAGCTGGAAGAAAGCCAGGCCTGTCTAAAACAAACAGGCTGTGTACTTAGTAAGAATTTTAATCAAACAAGAACATGGTTTCATAACGAGGAGGTTGTCCACCTGGTGGATCTTTTTTTTTTTTTTACTCACAGCAATTTATGAAAACCATCTACATTAAGGCTTGTGATCTTAATAGAGGAAGTATATTTGCTGATGAAAATTGCTGATTTTTTGCAGTATTAGAGTAAGAAAAAAAATATTGTCTTCAAGCAGTAACATTCAATGGCCTGATCCTTTGACAGGTAAATGTTGAAGATGTAGGACTACTAAATTTACAGCTAGAAACTGAGGACTAGGTAAAGTAAATGACTTGCCCGAGATCACAAAGGTAGAAAGTAACAAAGTGAGATTCTTTTGTAGGTAGTTTATTAAGGTTTTATTCAATAGCTGCTTACGTGTAAGCCTTTAAGAAGCTAGGGTCACCTTCATGCCATGTGGGGGCATTAGGGAAGAGGTGTCAAAGTCAAATAGAAACTGGCAATATATATTATTTATTGTATTTTTAAATTTATTTTGCTAATGTTTCCCAATCATATCTTAATCTGGTTTGGGCCACACTAGGGAATGTTGTGACTTGCACATGGTGTGAGTCTGACATCTCTGCACTAGAGGCTTTGGCGGAAGGCTCACATATCTAAACAACATTTAACTATTTCCATTGCAACTGTGTAGAATTATTGTGTTTACAAGAGCTTGAGGGACTTCAGTTTTATCAGGAGAGGTTGGGGACTAATACTTATACTAACTTATACTTAATGCCAGTTATCATGTAACAGAAAAGATGGTATATAAAGTTATAAAGCATTGTTACTATTATTAGTAAGGTAATAGAAAGACAAAACTTCAATGTTTGAAATTGCATGACAAAATTATTTTTTCTTCCAAAAGTTAAACTTTTACTAGTAATATTCTGCTTAAAATTTGAAATACAAAAAAAAAGTTATTTCTATTTTAACCACATATTTCGAAACATCTCTATTTAAACATGCATGCACATTCCAGGGAAACTTAATTCATTCAATAAACACTGTTTAAGCACCTACTAGGTGAAAGACACTGTGTGAGGCTCTAGGGATAAAATGATAAAAATGAGTTACATATTTAAACATCTCTCAACCCTCAGGAAAATTATCCTCTTCTGGAGAGGATATGACATGCACACAGGTAAGTACAACACAAGGTGTAGAATGATGGGTACAAAAGAGATTGCTCAACAAAATGCTCTACAAAAAATTTGAGGAGGAAGAGAATTATTTTCAGCTGCATGGGGCTGGGGAAGGAAAGTTTAGGGAAAATATTGGAGAGGTAGTGCCCTGAGCTGAGCCTGTAGGAAGAGGAGATAAGAACATATACTAGGCCTGGAGAATAATCTTCATGAATAGTAGGAGGCTGGAGATTACAAATGCAGTTGAGAGGAATGACTGACAATACAGTTTGGCTGGAGTGTAGAGGGCATGAAGAACAAAACATGAAATAAGGTGGAAAAGATACCTGTATAGGAAAAGGCTCTGGTCAAAATTTCATGAAAAATCTAAAAGTAAGTACTTGACAAATCAATGTCCTTCATAAGTCCATTTACTTACATCTGTGACCAGAACACAATGAAGTACAAGTTATTAGTTTCTTGTGTTACCATGACACTATAATTTAAATGTAAAAAACCAATGCAACTTCACTATTATGCTTTAGGGCTATAAGTCCTAATTTTTTTAAAATTTTATTATGCATAATAAAATATTTATGTTCTCCATTTGAAAATCGCCCCTTAAAAATTTAACATATTAGCCCATCTAGCCTAACCCAGTAGAACACTACACCAGGCCTTCAATCACCAAATAACTCTGCAGTGCCTTTAGAGGAAGCAGTATTGGCTTGTCTTATTTTTGTAAACTCTCCCTCATTTTTTTTTTCCCAATCCAGTTCCCTTGTGCTTTTAGCCAGGCAAAGGATTCCACAGCATTCACCCATGGCAGCCATTAAACTTTGTTCAAAAACTATAGTCAATGGGAATAATAACTTCCAATTAGCTATTTATAAGCCAAACTCTAAAAGCCCCTGCCATCAAAGCTACTATGGAAACCTAAAGTAACCAGTTTAATTTCAATGCACAGCAAGCAAACCAACAAACTCACAGGTGATGTCCTATAACAGAAAGTTATTTTTACAGAACTAGAATTTCATTGTGTAAACAAAGGCAGCTGAGCTTATACTAACTATGGTTTTAATTTATCTTAACAGGACATTATGTTCGAGATATCTGTGTATATGGACTGGGAGACTTACAGTGGATTATTGAATCCCCTCACTTATTCGCCAACAAATTTGAGCTCACAACATATCCACTTGTGATGGAATGTTTAGAGAGAAGATATAGACTTAAAGTACTAAATCAGGCAGAGGTCCCTTTAGAATCACATTGGCATTTACAAGAGACTTGCTATTTTAATATGAAAATAAATATTTGATCAGCAAATAATGCCTACTGTCAAAAAATAAAGAGAAAAATTATCAAGCCTTCTAGTTCACTTTTTTATTTCTAGTATTCTGTTCCCTTGATTGAAAGTAAGGGAACACAGATCCAAATAAGAAGGAATGAGTACAAATACTGAAAATGTAGGATATCACTCCTTGATACAGTTTAGGCCTAAAACCATTAAAAATTGAACAATGGATTTAGAAATGCAGAACGTTATATACTAAAACCTCATAAATTTAGAGGAGAAAGCAAAGGAAAAACATACCACATTATTTATTGAAGAAATCCTCAAAGTTCAAATTGCTTTATATGATTCACTGAAAACTAAAATAACTCTTTAACATAGTTCTAGAATTATCAATTAATAAGCACTTACTAAGCATTTGCTATATGATAAGCACTGGTAATACAAAGAATGTTCAAGAACCAATCGAGGGAGAACAAAGGCTACATAAAATGGGCAAATCACATTTCAAAATTCTGTGCTATCTTACAGAAAGCTATAAAGAAACAAATATACTTTATTTAAAGTAGTTTGTCTATAGTTACCCTTAATGGTGAAACAAGCAACCTTATTATAAGAATCCCAAGATATGATGAATACTGCTACTTCTCTGAAGTAAAAAGGAATCTATTATGGTAAACAGTCATTAAACAGCTTGTCATTTATCTCAAGATTGTCAACTAACATTTTAATATCACTATTTGACCTAAATCATTCCCCAGGTCAATGATATGTTTTTAACCAACGGCTATCAGCACCCTAACTTAGGAGATATAAAGTCATAAAGTTTTGGAGTTTCCTCCAAAAGAGTTCAAAGCACATTAGAACAACAAAAAATGTGAATATATATATGTAATAAAATAACATCACAATGAAAAATAATAAAGGAAATAAGGAAAGAGCGAAGATAAATGGCATAAAAAGGAAGGGCATCATAAAAAAATATAAAATGTATGCAAATTATGAGAGCCCTCAAATTGGCAGAAGCATCCAGAATGGTGGCAGAAATACAGGAAATTTCCCTTGAAAGCAAGTAGTGGAAAAGAAAAAGGAATAATCTACCAAACGAAGAAAAACCAAGGTAATCTTAAAACACTACCTTTTGAAAACATTCCTATAAGATGTGTAGTTCCAATGAATATTTAAGTATTTAAAGGTTTTTTAAAAGAAATTTTTAAAAATTAATTTGATTACATTTACAACAACTCTCCTAAAATTAACATATTGGAGATAATACTTTGTAAAAATTTTCTTCTGAGTCTCACTCAAATTTATTTGAGGTTGGCTGCTTATAAAGCTCAGATTCACCATAATTATATTCCTTGGGTTATCAACTATAAAATTTTTAAAAAGTATAAACCTCATTAAAAAGACAATCTTTCCAGGTTAAATTAAGTTTAATTAAATTAAGTTTGGGCAGGTGACAAGAACCTTCTGAGCAAATTTTTAAAGGTTAGACAGTAAAGTCCTGCTTAATTATTTCTTAATTCCCTTTGATCACCTAGGTGAATTATGGTGGTAGGGGGTGGATGAGGAAGGGGAATGATAGTATCTAGAAAGGCAAAAACTGGGTCCTGACAGCCAAATAGGTAAAGGGATTAATTTCTAAGTTGGAAAAAAGAGATATGTTTGGTCTGAATGCTTTCAGCTTGAAAACAGAAGACAAGAGGCAATGGACTTGGAAAATAGACTTTAAGTGGATAGCATAATAGATGAACAAAAACCCCTTTTATACTTTCTGTGGTACAGAATACAACCAACTACCTTCTGTTATATACAGAAGTAGGGAAAATGAATTTTAAAATTGGAGAATGTTAGAGCAGAAAGCAAATTAAGAGATCTAATCCAACACCCAAATTTTAGAGATAAGGAAATTAAGATCCAGAGAGGTTAAAGGTCATACTGCCTAAGGTTGTACCAAGTTAGTAAGTATAAATGAGATGGAAAAACCTGGTCTCCTAATATACTGCCCTCATGCACTTCTCCCTGACCCTCAAAGTCTCTCAGCTGATAAGAGTATTCCACTAAGGGCGCAGTTTGACACAAGACTACAAAAGCCTTTTTCTTTTTAAAGAATGATACTCAGGCTACTAAAAGAACTAGCAATTCTAGTTGCTAGTTAGAACATAGAAGAAAATAATTAAGTATTTTCTGAAAAGCAGCTATAAGCAAGGCAAGTGGGATTCATAAAGTTAATGGAAAAAAATGAGCATTAGATGTTACTCAAGAGTATAACAAACACTATTAAAAAGATTCTGTATATTGGGTATTTTCAGGATTTTTTTTTTTTACTGAAAAATGTTCTTCTATGGTTAACTGGGTGACCTTGGTAGAAATGTAGGTTTCTATCTTGCTTTGAAAATGTCATCATGAATTCATAGAAAACAGATGTGTCTTGTTCATTTTGTTACTGGAAAAAGCAGGACTGGAAAGAGTTAACAGACAGTTTGGCTCTGGAAGTATTGTTTAAAAGAATCCCAAACTCAGACTCACAAAGACTAAAGCGAGCTGGTCATCATGCCCTTGGATAATAATATTCAGTACAGAACCTGGAAATTAGAATAAGCCATACATCCTGCAGTGAGGTTTCATCTCTTCTCTTATTTAAAACAAATGCACATACACCTAACACCTGGCATCCATATGGTTGCAGTTTATTTGTTGTTTCTCTTAACAATGAATTCACCTATAAGCTGTTGTTAGAGCAGGACTTTCGGTAATACAGAAGACATCACTTACTTTACAAATATTTCACTTTCCTAACCTAACCAGTCTGGAAAACTAGTTAAGTTTACTATTACTAAATACACCACTAATATAACATAGAACACTGCCTTGTTTCTTGCTGTGCAACTTACATTCACCCCAATTTGTTTCTCATTACTACATGAGGCATAGAACACTGTGGGGAATACAATTAAATTTTCTTTTTAATATAAACAAATCATTAGCAAACAGAAAACCTAGCAACCACATCTCTTAGGAACCCATTTTCTAAAACCAATGCTCAACCTATCCGCTTTAAAACATGAAACCAGGACAATTTCAAACACTGCAGCCATGTGTTTTAAATTGGGTATTATCAAGATAATCAGTGGTAGAATGGATACAAAAGTTGTCATTCCTAAGTCTGGATTCACCTGTCAAATATCACCCATGTTCAGACCCTCAGATGGAGTGGTGGAAGCTTCTCTGGCAGAGGTAACCAAATAAAATGGCTCACTAATTCACTGTGTCAAAGATAAACACTGTAGCCTACGTGAGGCACATACATATATGTAGTACTCACAAAGATTAAATCTTAGAAAAAAAACCACAATGACTATTACATATTTAGAGTTAATAGGAACTGGAGTGATACACTGAAGTCTTCCCATTTCAGTGAATTGAAAATTTGGAAAGACCACAGAACTAGAAATTTGGTTTTTGGAACTAGAATTGGCATTATTTGAAAGAAAATACTGTTTAGATAAATTAATTTTCACTTTCATAGAAATAAAGAATTTCACAGTTGGCAATCTAGTCCAACTCCTTCATTTTACAGTTTAAGAAACTGAGGCATAGGGAGGTTGGTTAAGTGGCCCAAAGTCAAACAGATAGTGGTGGAGACAAGATTAAATTCCACATTTCTTAACCTTTAGTCAAGGGCTTTTTCTATTCACCATCTAGTCATTTGCAAAATCTCATCAATTTATGAAAGTAATATAAAGATAATTATAAATTGTACTGAGACCAAAAGAACAAGAAATTATATCCAAAAGACACTTACTTTTTCAGACTTTTTCACTACTTTGAAGTACGAAAGACCACAAGTGTTTAACACATCCTGCACTTTTAAAAAATGTAAATGATTGAAAAGATTAAAAAATTTTAAAATCCTTATATCTAATTTGCCTTCTGACATAAATGCAAACAATTTTATAAATTAAGTTTTTCTCTTCTTTAAGATCTAACTGGAACAAATTAAATCCATTCTACTTAGAGAAATGAATACTTAACCCCATTATATTCATTAGAGTAATATGTGAAATAAAAATCTATAAAGATTGTTCTGCTAGATATTTCTCCCTATTCATCTGTAAATTCTATAAAGAGAAGCACTAAGTCTTATCTAAATTGTGTATCTTTCCCCCTACCAGCACCTAGCACTGTTCTGGGCACATATTAAGCGTTTAAAAATATGTGTTAAATGAATGAACTCATGTGAAAAAAAAGTCAACCAACGCAAAACAACAGTTTTATATCAATCTAAAATAAAAATAAATATTTTCTGTAATGTACCAACATACTATAGGCACTAGATACGGCAAGCACCAAACAGTACCAAAAAAATGAAACTGACTATATGGTTTTTTTTCTTTTAGGCAATTGGGGTTAAGTGACTTGCCCAGGGTCACAGAGCTAGTGTCAAGTGTTTGGTCTGAGGCCACATTTGAACTCAGGTCCTCCTGACTTCAGGGCCGGTGCTCTATCCACTGTGCCACCTAGCTGCCCCGAAACTGACTATATGTTAACAGACAGAAAAGGGCTGGTGACTGTTGATAATGATCAACAAATTTCCCTTCATCTTTAAACCTCTTCCCTTTATGCTCCTTCCATCTACTGGTGTTCAAAGAGAACCACCTCTGCACAGAAAGACATTGCATCTCTTGCCACCCTTCCCAATGCCGAGTGTACCTTCTCTCCTGCTCTCCCACAGGTCTGGGAGGGAGAATCAGCAATCTTTCTTCCCTTGCCACACACTTATTCTCCCATCACTCAGCAACCTCTCCTCCTCACTCTATCCAGAAATATCACTCAATCCAAATCCTGCTGCTATCAGTATCTGCCAGACTCCAGGTCATGTTCTTTTCTTTCTCAAGGAGTTCAGTATTAGGTTCATAGTCTCCCCACTCACTCCAACCACTCCCCTTGTACAAGGGCATTTCAACATACATGTTGATGTTCCCTCAAACACTGTGGTACCCTGGTTCTTTAATCTTCTCGATTCCTATCACCTATTTCTTCACTATTTCAGCCAAAAACAAAGACTGTCATACTACTGATCTCACCATCACACAAAAGTGTTCCACTTCCATGATTAAAAGGAAGGATGGAAGAAAGGCAACAAGCACTGAGCACTTACAACGTGCTAAACATTGGGAATACAAATACAAGCAAAAAGAAAGACAGTCTGTTTGTGACGACCTTACATTCTAATGGGGAAAGAAAACAAACGAGGCACCCAGCACAGGCATATGGTTTAGAGTCCAGCAGCCAAGAACAGGGCTGGGAGGGGAATAAAAGTCCCCTTCAAAAAATGGAGGATTCAGGAGTAACATATTAATGGGAAAAATGGGTGGACTTACAAAGGGATGTTCCAGGCTGAGAAGGCCTCAGGGATGGCTAAATGTTCCAAGGCAAGGAGGCTCCAGGCACTGTTGGAAGTTCTAAGATGAAACATCATGATTTGGAAGATCAGGATCTGGAGGACTGAATAAAGTAGTACAGTCCAGGGCCCCTCACAAGTGCTCCAACAACAATTTAAGAACACTAGATCAAGTAGTCATTGGGAAATAGGAGAAACCATAGTAGGTCATCTTTCCATCCCAAAATCACAAATTAAACTTACAGGCAAGTAGTAACCAAGGCAATTCAAAAGCTTGAAAAATAGAAGAAACTTCCAGGAACCTTACAGATCAAAATGCATAGCTATGGTCCAGATCAAAGAAAAAAATACTACAAGCAGCCAGAAAGAAACAGTGAAAGGACTGAGGAACCACAGTCAGTAGCACTCATGATTTAGCTGCTACAACTGTAAAGGAGCAGAGAACATGGAACATGATATTCCAAAAGACAAAAGATATAGGTTTACAACTAGGAATAACTTGCATAGCAAAACTCAGTAAAAATTATAGGAGGAAAAAATGAAATTTTGATGAAACAGAAGACTTACATGCATTCCTAATGAAAAGACTAGAAACTAAAATATAAGCACAGAAGTAAAAATAAAAATTAAAAGGTAAATACAAGTGAGCACTCAGAAAATACTTTATAAGGATGAAGTAGTGGAGAAGGGGGAGAAGGAAATGATACAAGCATATCCTAAGATCCATAATATCATCAGGGGTCATAATAAATAGAGGTCTTGGGAGTAATTTTTATTATGTTTTGATGATCTTAAAAGAAGAAAGGAAAAGGAGGTGAAAAAATATACACTGGGGAAGAAAAACAGAGGAATGGGGGGCATTTATTCTCTCATATAATCAAAGAGCACAAATAGAAATCTATATAAATGAGGAAAGGGTAAGGAGGGCAACAGGGTTGAGCATTACTTGAATCTCACTTTCACTGAACTGTTGAGGGGATGGCAAAAAACACATACATACACATGTATGAACAAACACATGCACACATTTTGGTGCATAAATACATCCAGCTTAACAGGGAAACAGAAAGAAACAGGAAGAGAGGAAAGGGGAAAATAAGAAGGGTAGATTTAGGGAAAAATTAGTCATAAGCAAAACAAATCCTAAGTATATAGAGAAGTGATCTGAAGAGAGGTTTAAAGGGAAAAAAAGAACTGAAAGTGGGTGAGGGGAAGGGAACAGGGTCAAGGGACTGGAAATTGTTTGCATCAAACAGAACACTGGTGCTGAGCACACTCCTATTCCATGCCCCTCTTCTCCTATGTAAAGAGGGAGGCAGGGAGCAAAGAGAGGAAAAAGTATAATAGGATGGAGGGAAATAAAATTACAAAGTTTTGGCGTAAACAAATCAGATGTTGCTAAGATTCGAAAGGAAACAGTTAACTGGGGAAAAAAAATCTTTCTAATAAGTTTCTCTGATAAAAGTTTCATTTCTAAGATATATAAGGAACTGATACAAATTTGTAAGAATAAGAGTCACTTCCCATATGATAAATGGTCAAAGGATATGAACAAAAAGTTTTCTTTTTCTTTTCTTTTTTTTTTTAAAGGCAATTAGGGTTGAGTGACTTGCCCAGGGTCACACACCTAGTAAGCGTCAAGTGTTTGGTCTGAGGCCAGATTTGAACTCAGGTCTTCCTGACTTTAGGGCTGGTGCTCTATCCACTGCGCCACCTAGCTGCCCTCATAAGAAGTTTTCAAAAGAAGAAATCCAAGCTATTAATAAGCAAATAAAAAAACTGCTCAAAATCAATGATTTAAAAAATGGCAATCACAGGGCAGCTAGGTGGCACAGTGGATAGAGCTCCGGCCTTGGAGTCAGGAGGACCTGAGTTCAAATTCGGCCTCAGACCCTTGACACTTGCTAGCTGTGTGATCCTGGGCAAGTCACTTAACTCTGACTGCCTCAGCCCCCCACCCCAAAAAAAGACGGCAATTAAAGCAACACTACGGTTCCATTTTACATCCTTCAGACGGGCAAATTTGACAAAAAAGGAAAATGACCAGAGTTGGAGAGACTGTGAGAAAATAAGTTCACTAATGCACTAATGGTGGAACTGTGAATTGGCCCAGCCACTCTAAAAAGCGATTTGGGAACTATGCCCCCCAAATCATTCAACTGTGCATATATGCCCTTTGACTCAGAAATACCACTACTAGGCCTATACCCTAAGGAAATCAAAGAAAAAGGAAAAGGACTCATCTGTATGAAAACACTTATGGCAGCTCTTTTTGTGGTGGCTAAGAACTGAAAACTGGGGGGAAACTGAGAGATACCCATCAACTGGGGAATAGCTGACAAATTGTGACATATAATGAACGTAATAGATTACTCTCGTGCTAGTAATATAGTTTCAGAGAAACTCTGAAAAATATGTGTGGATAAAGGCAGAGTGAAGTGAGCAGAACCTGGAGAATAATTCACGTTACAATATCAATACTGGAAAAACAATTTGGAAGGACTTAACTGAACTTAACACATAAATCTAGAAGATTAATGAGGAAGAATCAACTTCCTTACTGAAAAGTAATGAACTAATATGCAAAATGAAATACACATTTTTGGACGTCGCCAATATGGGAATTTGTTTTGTTTGACTATGCAGTACACAATATCTCACTTTTTTATTTCTATCTCCAGTGCCTGGCACAGTGCTTGATACATAGTAGCTACCTAGTAAATACTTTTGCTTATAATGAGTTTTCCAAACTGAATTGTCATACTAAACCATATAGCTAAAAACATGGTTATCTATCAGTAACCTCCCCTGAGCTTGGACCACATATAGCACTTTACAACTGTTTAATGCGTTTATCATGTAATACTGTATATTATCACAATCTGTCTTTACATCATGGTTACCTCTATGAAGGCAAGGGCTTATTGTGTCTTATCAAAACTTTGTATTCTCTCAGCATGTAGTACAGTTTTCCTTGCGAATAGCAGCTACGATAAATGGATGTAGAATAAATGAATAGGAAACAAATTGAGGTTATTTTTTCTGGCAACAGCATTATAACAATAGTCTACTAAAAACTTCAGTCTCTCATTTCCAACTACCTTTTAGGCATCTCAAAACTGGGATGTTCAGTAGACATCCTAAACTCAAATGTGCAAAACAGAACTTATCTTTCCATCTAAATCCTCCCCATGTCTATTTTCTCTATTACTACAGAGGCCAACACCATCCTCCTAATCCCTCAGGCTCAAAACCCAGAAGTCATTCTGATTTCCTCATTATCTTTCATATCCCCTTCCACCCCTCCATATCCAAGCTGTTTTCAAGGCCTGCTGATTTCACCTTTGCAATATCTCTTGAATATGTCCTCTTCTCTCCAACAACACTAACACCATAACCTACTGGAGGGTTTGCCTGCATCAAATCTCTCCCCACTAATCCTCCATTCAGCCTCCATTCAGCCACTAAAATAATTTCCTTAAAGCGCAGGTTTGATCATGTCACATACCCTGCCCCCCAACTCAACAAACTCCAGTGGCTTCCTATTGCCTCCAAATACAAAATGCTCCATTTGGCATTCAAACCTTCATAACCCCACCCCCTCCTACCTTTTGAGCCTTCTTACACCCTATTCTCCAACACATACTCTTTGATCCTGTAACATTGGCCTCCTGGCTATTCCACAAACAAGACACTCAATCGCTTGGCTCCAGGCATTTTCTCTGGCTGTTTCCCATGCCTAGAATGCTTTCCTTCCTCTGTTCCAACTACTGACTTCCTTGGCTTCCTTTAAGTTCCAACTAAAATCCCACAGGAAGCCTTCCCTAAATACTCTTAATTCTAGTGCTTTACCTCTTTTAAATATGTCCTATTTATGCTATATGTAGCTTGCTTTGTATATATTTGTTTGCATGTTCTCTCTCCCATTAGACTGTTAAGCTCCTTGAGGGCAGGGACTGTTTTTTGTTTCTTTTTATATCCCCAGTGCTTAGCAGAGTACCTGGCAAATAGTAGGCACTTACTGTTTATTGACTGATATCACCACTATCAACACTTATGAACTTTCATAGCTCACCACACAGCTATTTGTGATTTCTCAGTTAACTAAAGTTGTACAACCATGCTTTGTGTCAAATCAAATGCTATTCTCAACAGACTATATGGCAGAGATGATGGATTTCATAAAACTTACTTACCGTATGACAAACTTCAGCTTTGATTTCTTTCAAGGCTCGTTCAGAAAATACACAACCACAGCAGCGCAAGAAGCAAAACCTTTAAAATAAAATACACATATTATTTTAGATATTATTTGTTATTAATATATTAATACTTATTATAAATAATAACAATATCATTATGTTATAAACTAATATAGCATGTTAATTATTACACAACTATATTGAATATAAGTTATATATACAATATAAATATATGTTATAAATTAATAATTATATCTATTAGTACCTAACATTTGTTGAACATAATTTCCTTTCCTGTAATATAACCACATATATTGTTTTACAGTATCACAGTTTAAAGTGACTGAGTTCTATACGTAGAAAGTTAACAAGCCCTGTGAAAAGCGTACAGGTCAAAGGGACAGAACATTTATCTCCTTTTTCTGTTTCTTCTACTTTTATTCTGTGGAACCTCAGTTTCTAAACTTCTGAATTAATTGTCTTTAAAATCTTCGGGGTTAAATGCTTTTTAATAATCTTGCTGGAAAAGACACTGAATCCAAAAGAAGATTAATATCTTAGAATAAGAAGTTAAATGCCTACTTTTCACATGACCCCTTGTGGCTGTTTGGGGGAAAGGCATATACCCAACAAGACACAATATAGCCTCAAGCACTTTCCATACGTAAACCACCCATCCTAGATTTTCCACAATAATCCTCATTTCAATAAAAGAATCTGTACTTATAACAAGGCATTACAAACATTCATAGTTACCCATCTCTACAACAAAGGGGAAGGGACATGGGTTTTATTTTTACTACTCAATGAAATGCTAATTAAGGGGTCAACCAATATTGAGAGTATTTCAGCTATTTGTCCTTAAACTTTTCAGACATTAGACTCTGACTGCACCTGGAGAATGGGAAGCTAAGTGGGCATTCACTATGTCACGGCAGCAAGGAATGAAGCAGTGACTTATACAGACTCAAGGTAAAGGGCCAGAGGCACCCGGAACAAAATAAACTTAAATTTAGAATGAAGTATATATCTTGGACATGAGACCTTTAGCAGAGAAACTTGCTACAAAGATTTCTTCCCCCTAGTTAACTATTTTCCTTCTAATTTTAATGCTTTCTTGTTTGCACAAAACCTTTTAAATTTTACATAACTGAAATTAGTTTTTTAACTTCTGAGCTGAGCTTCTGTATTTCTTGCATAGTAATGAATTCTTCCTGTATCCGTAGTTTTGAAATGTATTGCCCTCCTTTTTCCACAAATATATTTGTAATGTGAACTTCTGTTTAAATTGTAAATCTGAAATAAAGTATAATTTTTTTAAAATGTTGCTGGGAAATTTTCTTTCTAATTAAATTTTAACAAGCTATTTATTGTTGCTTGTGAAGGAACATTTGATTGATAACACAGTATTCATTGCCTAAAATATATCAAATATCCATACAAAAAATTTTGTTACCTCTATTTATTATAAGGAGAAAAGACAAGGCCAAACTCTTCTTTTATCAAACAAGGGCTTACATATTACTAAAACAGATCTGTCATTTCATTGATATGGGCATTCCCTCCAACAAGAGAAATGGCTAACCATCCAATGTGAATGTTGCCATATCCTCCCATAAATTAACCACAGGGAGTCCACTCAGTTCTGGAGGCCTTTGCTGCTTTTTTTCCCTTTTTTTTATAAGTTTATTTATTTTTAGTTTTCAACATTTACTTCCACAAGATTTTGAGCTCCAAATTTTCACCCCATCTCGCCCCTCCCCCCACCCTAAGATGGCATGCATTCTGAATACCCCTTCCCCTAGTCTGCCCTCCCTTCTACCTCTCCCCCCCCTTCTCTTATCCTCTTCCTCTTCTACTTTCCTGTAGGGCAGGATAGATTTCTGTACTCCATTTCCCATATTTCTTATTTCCCAGTTGTATGTGAAAACATTTTTTTTTAAAAATGTGTTTTTAAAACTTTGGGTTCCAAATTTTCTCCCTCCCTCCCTCCCCACCCACCCTCATTGAAAAGGCAAGCAACTCAATATAGGTTATATATGTGCAGTTATGCAAAACACTTTCACAGTAGTCATGTTGTGAAAAACTAACTCTATTTCCCTTAATCCTATCCCGCCCCCCCCATTTATTCTAGTCTTTCTTTTGACCCTGTCCCTCCTCAGAAGTGTTTGCTTCTGATTACCCTCTTTCCCAGTCTGCCCTCCTCTCTATCATTCCCCTGCTCTCTTGCCCCCTTCTCCCCCTATTTTCCTGTACGGTAAGACAGATTTCCATAACCAATTGAGTGTGTATGTTATTCCCTCCTTAAGCCAAATCCTATGAGAATAAGATTCACTCATTCCCTCTCACCTTCCCCTATTTCCCCTCCACTGTAACAGCCTTTTCTTTTCTGGTTTTTTGTGAGATAATTTACCCCGCTCTACTTCTCCCTTTCTCCTTCTCCCAGTAAAATCCTCTTTCTCTCCCTAATTTTATTCTCCAAACATGACGCCTTCATCTTTAACTCACCCTGTGCTCTCTCTCTCTCTCTGTATATAAATATATATATATACATATACATATACATATAATTTTTTCCCTTCAACTACCCTAATACTGATAAAGGTCTCATGAGTTATAAATATCATCTTTCCATGCAGGAATGTAAACAGTTCAACCTTAATAAGTCTCTTATGATTTCTCATTCCTGTTTACCTCTTCATGTTCCACTTGAGTCTTGTATTGGAAAGTCAAATTTTCTATTCAGTTCTGGGCTTTTCATCAAGAATGCCTGAAAGTCCTCTATTTCACTGAATGACCATTTTTTCCCCCGAAGGATTATAATCAGTTTTGCTGGGTAGGTGATTCTTGGTTGTAATCCTATCTCCTTTGCCCTCTGGAATATTATATTCCATGCCCTTTTGTCCCTTAGTGTAGAAGCTGCTAAATCTTGTGTTATCCTGACTGTATTTCCACAATACTTGAATTGTTTCTTTCTGGCTGCTTGTAATATTTTCTCCTTGACCTGGGAACTCTAGAATTTGGCTACAATATTCCTAGGAGTTTTCCTTTGGGGATCTCTTTCAGGAGGTGATTGGTGGATTCTTTCAACTTCTATTTTGCCCTCTGATTCTACAATATCAGGGCAGTTTTCCTTGATAACTTACTGAAAGATGATGTCTAGGCTCATTTTTTGATCACGGCTTTCAGATAGTCCAATAATTTTTAAATTCTCTCTCCTGGATCTATTTTCCAGGTCAGTTGTTTTTCCAATGAGATATTTCACATTGTTTTCTAATTTTTCATTCTTTTGAATTTGTTTTACAGTGTCTTGATTTCTCATAAAGTCATTAGCTTCTAATTGCTCTATTCTAATTTTTAAGGAAGCATTTTCTTCAGTAAGCTTTTGTACTTCCTTTTCCATTTGGCCAATTTTGCTTTTTAGGGTATTCTTCTCCTCATTGGCTTTTTGGACCTCTTTTGCCATTTGGTTTAGGCTATTTTTTTAAGGTGTTATTTTCTTCAGTATTTTTTTCGGTTTCTTTTAGCAAGCTGTTGACTTGTTTTTCATGATTATCTTGCATCACTCTCATTTCTCTTTCCAGTTTTTCCTCTACTTCTCTTACTTGCTTCTCAAAATCCTTTTTGAGCTCTTCCAAGGCCTGGGACTGATTCATATTTTTCTTGGAGGCTTTGATGTAGGAGCTTTGACTTTACTGTCTTCTTCTGGCTGTATGTTTTGATCTTCTTCGTTACCAAAAAAAGATTCTATGGTCTGACACTTCTTGCGAGGTTTGCTCATGATTCCAGCCAATTACTTCAGTTATAAACTCTTTATTAAGGTAGAGGTCTGCTTCCAATGTGTAGAATGTACTGTCCCAAGCTTCAGGGGTTTTGTGCAGCTGTTTTCAGAGATACTTCTAGGGACCTGTAAATTTTCAGTTCTTCCAAGGTGGTATGATAAGGGGTGAGGTGTTTACTCCTTTCCTGGCCTGGGCTCTGGTCTGTGAGTGACCACAAGCACTCTTTTCTGCCTTGGAACGGTGAGGAGGATTCCCTCTCCACCCCCTACAAGCTCCAACACACCAGTGCTCCTCCTCGCCCCAGGACTGTGACCCAGAACTGTGACCCAGATCCAAGCACATGCAAAGTAAGAGAATCTTGCACCAGTAGAGAGATCCCTGCAATCCCCCTCTGATCAGCCACTCGATTCCCCCTCAGTCTGTGGACTGGAAGCTCAGGAAGCAGCTGTCGCCCCAGGGCCATGCTCAGTAACTGGGGCTGAGACCTAGCTTCTCTCTCACACCAGAAACAGACTTTTCCCACTGACTTTCTAAGTTGTCTTTGGCGTTCGTGGGTTAAGAGGTCTGGAAACCGCCACAGCTGCCCATGACTCAGTCCTCTGAGGCCTGTTCCAGGTTCACTACGACCTGCGCGCCCATGCCAAACTGCACTCCTCTCCCAGTCTGGAGCGATATACCTTTCTGATCATCCATCCAGGTTGTCTTGGGCTGGAAATTTGCTTCACTCTGTCTTTTTGTGGGTTTTGTTGCTTTAGAATTTGTTTAGAGCCATTTTTTATAGGTATTTGGAAGAGTTTGGGGGAGAGCTCAAGCAAGTCACTGGTTTCACTCCATCTTGGCTCCGCCCCGTTGCTATTTCTTAACACTGAGAAGACACTTGTAGAGTACAAGGTCTCTTCATAAGTTATACCCTCCTTTCAACACATGACCAGTTCATCTTTTTTTTTGCTCATACATTTTTGATAACATCTTTTACTTTAGTTCTCTTTCATAATGATTTGCTTGCAATGTGTTGTAGTGTACTCACACCCACCTTCTGCCTATTGGAATATGAATTCAACTGTACAAATCTAGATTAAAAGATCTATGATACCAAGGTTCCAATGAATTCAAGGTTCTCCATTAAAGTCCAACTTCAGTGCCTCATTGTGACTGGGAGGTGACTCTGAGTTATCAAAAACTATATCATCAGAATGCAAACTCTGGTGTAGCTTACTAAGCTGAAAACGTTTGGCCTGCTGTCCAAGGATCAGCCAAGGGAAGTTCAAAGTGCCACAGTCTGGTCGAAGGGTTATGAAGATATTTGTCCACAGCAATTAGGAAAGATATTTGACTAATTCATTAGAGGGGATGTGATCTGTGTCAGTGGAAAGAGTATCCACATGATGAAAGAAATTACTATCTTTGAAATACTGAAGTGAGAAGAAATTCAAGGCTATTTCTTTATCACTGTCTGCTGGGCATAGAGCCAACGAATCAACCACATACTCCGTAACATTTTTCCACTGTGGTAATTTGTAGCTGTAGTTACAAGGAAAAAAGACTCACTTTATGGGAAACATTTGCCTCTCACTTCCTTTCCCAGGCTCAAGTATATCAGGCAACCAAACTCAGCTTTAAAAGTGTCACATGTGGAAACTAGAGCACAGTAGAGAACATTTTAAAATACCCAAAGATTTCTTTAAAATCCCACATTAGGCTTTCCTACAACAAAATGCTGACCTAAATACCTGTTTGTGACTTAATAGCACCTTTAGAAGACAAAGTCCAAGGCAGGACTTATTCCAACTATTTGTGAAATACTGACCTGTGCCGACCATTCATCTCCAGACCTACAACAGGGCAAATAAATCGGGCACGCTGGAGGTCATCATATTTATCACCTTTTGTATTTCCCTTATCACCACTCCAGGCTGGATTATCAGAGAGCTTCAGCTCTGTCACATTCTAGGAAAAACCATAAACATTTTAGATAGCCAGTTTATTTGCTGACCATTTCCCCTTAATAATTCATAAAATCAACACAGAAATTATTATTTTACTTCAAACTTTTCATTTATCATTAGTTTTTTTAAGCCATCTCCTACAAGAAGACTATGCTGATCTCCCAGCTGCTAGTGTTTTCTCTCCATCAAAAAAGTACTCCGTATTTAATTATGTTTGTATGTTGTTTCTTTGAGGAAACCCTCCTCGAGGGTAGGGATTATTTTGCTTTAAAAAAAAAACTTCATATCACCAGGAAATAATAGATTTGGAACATACTAATTGCTCATTAAATGTTACTGAAATGAATGAATGAATCAAATGATTTAAGTAACTCTAAACCTGGAGAGAACATTACTTTAAAGTTATCAAAGTAGGGTTTCATTTATCTACAGATGAGCTAATAAATATTTGATAATTTAAAATTTCAATTTTCAGTCTAATTCAACCAACACATATTGAATACCTGCTAGATGAAAAGCACTATTTTACTGTATCTTGAAAGAAAGAAATAAACTTCTTAATTAAAATTTAAATCTTGAGACAAAAACTACACTGATCCCAATGATAAAGGTAATTTTTTTCTCTTTATGAAAGAAATATCACTAATGATAATTTCCACAAGACAAATTAAAACACAGAGCATGACATAATGGAAAAAGAGTCAGGAGACCTAAGAATCAGGAGACCATCCAGACCACCCCAACCCCAAACCCAACCAATCAACTAGTTGTGTGACCTAAAGGCAAATCACTGAATTCCTACACCTCAGTTTCTTCCTGTGCAAAATGAAAAGGAACCACTTGATAATTGTTATGTTCCATTTCAGATCTAAAATTTCATGAAAATTATTTTTCACATCTAAAATAACAGGAACTGTCCTTTAACAGTTACAAATATTACCTTATATTTGTATGATAGTTTATAGCTTTAAAAGGTTTTTTGACATTCATTATCCGATTTAATCCCTTACAGACACTCTGTAGAGAAGGCAAATAATATGCCCATTTTAAAGATGAGTTACCCGAGGCTCAAGGACATTAAGTGGCTTGCTTAGAGTTACACAGCAAGTTAGTAAAGCTATTACTGGAACTTACCTCTTATGATTCCCATCTTTAAGTATACTAGTAACAAAGCAAACATTCATGACACTTGAATTATTTCAGAATAATTAGTATTACCTTAATGCTCTTAATGTGAGATGCTGCCTGCCCAAGGGCTTTGTCGTTAGATTTGTCCAATAAAAACTCAATGACTGCATCTTTGTTATAAAGTCTGTAACAATAAGAAGTAGTGAAAATGTTTTAATTATAGACAATAAAATGTCTGTGCTAACGGAGGCAGAATTCATCAAATGTTTAAAGCAGGGATAAGGCTGGTATAAACTGTTTACATTTGACAACGGAATGCATTACATGATGTTTCTTTTAAGTGTATTTCAGATAAATATAAACAAGAATGTAGAGTTGACTTAGATATGTGTAGTGTGTACAAGGAAGGCAACTAATTTTATAAGTAGGATTGGGCTTGAATAATATGATCCAGATATATACTTAGAGGAAAAAGGAATGCAGAATGAAGATATTTGCTGAGGATAATCTACAAATGGATAATCACTCTATTTACAAATAGAAATTTACTTAAATTCATTTTAAAAAAAGAGTAATAATTCAAATAACACAAACATACCTGCCAAGTTCACAAGCTACTATTGGTTTTCTTAGTATTTCTTGGCTTAAAGTACAATAGTTCCATTGGGCCACTAATTCAGCATTTTTGTCAACCTAAGAAATGAAAAAAGAAAAAAAAATATATATATATATATATTTGCTTTTAAATTACTTCCATTTTTTGTTTGATATGTGGTTCAGATTTTTTTCCCCATTATTTACTGCTTCATTCCACTTCAACCACATGTAGGATGGTCAAGTATTTCACTTCCTTAATTAGAAACTCTGACATTTCTCTATCTGATTATAACCTTCCATAATTCCATCTTCTTTTATGTTTCACCCTTCCTAAACCAATTCTTCATCTTCACTGACATCTCCAATCCCTTCACTTTCCCAGGCTATTAGCTCTTCTTTGACTTCCTTTTCCAATTTCAACCCTATGGTGAGCCATTTGAACTCCATACTCTCTTCTGCTCTTGAATCCCCTTGTCCTACCCCGGCTCATCTCTTTCCAAACCTCAGCACTGGATTGCTGTTCTTCTTCCTCTGTTCTTTCTCACAGGTAACTAAATGGAACTGAACGAAGCCACACAACTGCGCTGAATAAGTCCATTACAAATTCATAAATTCATGTTAGCCAACTTCAACTAGGCCCATTTCAGCAAGGCAGTGCTTTGATTTCCCCCTAATTAAATTCCTCGTCTCATTCCCCACAGAGGCTTTCCTAAACCTTTTCTTCTCTCCCCAAATCGCACACTTGCCCTCCCTACTCTCTTTTAGCAGAAGACGTCACCTCTTACCTTACTAAGAAAACTGAGGTCATTTGACATGAGTCCCCTCTCCTTCAGTTCTCTTCATTTCAAAGCCCCTTGACGTCATCCTCCACTCATGCCCAGGCATGACAATAAGGTAGACCTCGTCCTTGCCAGGGCCAACCTTTCTACAGGCGCACTTGGTCTCATCCCTTCCCCTCTTCCTCTCTCACTTGAATCTCCAACTTCTCCTAATCTAACGGTTCCTTCCCTACAGCCTTTCAAACATGGCCAAGCCTATTCTACCTTGAAAAAACTTACACTGAACCTAACCACCCCCTTAAGCTGTCATCATATATGTCTCTTCCCTTCCTTAGTCAAACCAATAGAAAAGTCAGTATATACTCACCACTTCCACTGCCTCTCTTCTCATTTACTCCTCAGTCCTCTGATATCAGGTTTCTGACTTCATCACTCAACTGAAACTGCTCTCTCCAAAGTCACAAATGATTTTTTTACTTTCCAAATCTTACAGTCTTTTCTCAAGCGTCATCCTCTTAATCTATCTTCTCCAACTGACACTGCTAACCACCCTTTTCCTTGGATCCTCTCTCAAATCTAGGTTTTCATGGCATTACTCTCCTGTTTCTCTTCATATCTGCCTGACTGCTTTTTCTTCATCTCCTTTGGTGGTTCACCATCCACATCAAACCCCATAAGTATGGGTGTTCCCCAAGGCACTGACCTACGCCCTTTTCTCTCTCTACAATTTCTCTTTTGGTAACCTCATCAGATCATATGGGCTTAACAATCATCCCTATGAAGACTCTCAGCTCTATATATCAAGCCCTAATATCTCCCTGAGCTTCAGTCATGCACCACTAATTGCTCACTAGACATTTTAAACTACATGTCTTGGAGAAGTCTCAAACATTTTGGACTTAACATGTCCAAAACTAACTCATTATGTTTTCCCAAACCCTTTCCCCTTCCAAACTTCCCTATTTCTATGAAAGATTCCACCACCCTTCAAATCTCCCAGGTCCCAAACTTGACATTGTCAATATCTCACCCCACCACACACATCCAATCAGTTGCCAAATCTTGACATTTCTACCTTCACAACATCTGATTCCCTCTTTCTCTCTCACAACTACCAGTTTCATTCATGCCCTCATCATCTGTCACCTAGATTATTGCAATAGCCTTATAAAAGGTGTCCCTGCCTTGAGTCTTTCCCCATTCTAGTCCATTCTATATAACACTGCCAAAGAAATTTTCCTTAAATGCAGACCTGACCATCTGACTCCCCTATTCAATTAACTCCAGTGACTTTCTATTGCCTCAAAAATCAAATATAAGTTTCTCCACTTAGCTTTTAGAGTTATTCACAACCTGACCCCAACTACCTTTCTAGCTCCACTGGAATGTAGTCAAACTGGTCTTCTCTCTAGTCTTCACATAGGAGACTCCATATCCTATCTCTGGGCCTTTGTATTAGCTGTCTCCCATGCCTAGAATGAACTCCCTCCTCACCTCTGCCTCAATATATTTCCCTCTTTTCCTTCAAGACAAAGCTTACTCACCACCTCTTATATGAAGCCCTTTCTGATCCCCCAACTACAATTGGTATGCCCTTTCTCAGACTATCTCCATATTGAACTACTTTGTATTTATTTATTTTTACTCTCTTCATATTTGAATGAATGAATGAATAAAGCATTTATTAAGTATTTACAATGTGTAAAGTACTGTGCTAAGTGTTAGGGATGCAAATATAAAAGTCCCTGTTCTCAAGGAGCTCACATTCTACTGGAGAGACAACTGAGGAGAGAGTTTCAGCTGCAAAGGTTCCACGGTCTTTAGGAAGCAGACGGCAATGCCTCTTCTTTAATGTCATTTCCACTGATAAAAATCAGACCAGTTTCTCATGTTGAATCACTTGACAGTGCCAAAGGTTTTGTTGATGAGAACTTTGTTTTCTGGTTCTTCAATAGATGTGGCTGTAGCACAGAGAAGAGCAATTGCTAGGCCTCATCTTCACAGAGGTTGCTTCCTTGCATCAAGCAGTGGCCTGAAGCATTGCTATTCCCAAAGCTCTTAAGTTTAGGATCCTAGGCTGTCTCCATTGGGGGACAAGGGGAGATAGTGCCAAGGTGGTGGTAGTAGTTTGACAGCATATGCTGACTCCTGTCTTTCCCTGGGGGTGCCCTGATGTTTCAGCTAGGCTGGCTTGTCTGCCTGTGTGTGGCAATTAGTTGGCAGCCAGTGGGGATGGCTGGCCCTTCTCCACAGAATTTGCTTCCCCAGTAGCAAATGAATATTTATTCTGTATATACTTATATATATATATACTTGTTTTCTCCCACTAAAATGTAAGCTCTATGACAGTTTCATTTTCTGTATTTATATCCTCAGCATAGAGCAAAATGCTTGGCACATAGAAGTATTTAATAAATACCTGTTGATTGATGGATGGATACAAAGACTTGATTATAGAATTTTAGACCACAGAATGTTTGAGCTTAAAGGGATCTTAGAGGTGGCCCTTTCCTTGCCAAGGCCAACTGTTCTTCATGTACCTGTGATCTCCAGAAGACTGTCACCATTATAATTCTTACTTTCCCTCTAATCTTATATTTCTTCCTATCCCTTCCACCTTTAAAACTCTCATTTGACTTTACCATTCCCACTAGCTATCATCTTATATCTTCCCTCTGCATCTTAGTTAAACTTCTTGAAAAAGTCATCTATGTATATACCCAGTGCCCCCACTTCTTCTCCTCTCCCCCATTTCCTCTCTTATAAACCCTCTGCAATTTGGCTTTTGACTTTGCCATTCAACTGAAACTGCCTTGTTCTAAGTTATCAATGAACTCTTAATTGCTAATTTTAATGGCTTTTTTTCAATCCTTAACCCTCCTGATAGCTCTACAGCATTTGACACTAGGACCACCTAGAGTCTTTGTCCCTTCTAGGTTTTCATATACTGCTTGGTTCTTTTGATTGATCCTTCTTAGCCTGGATGTCCCCTATGTCATACTCACTAATGGTAGATATCCCCTCTAAGCCTCCTCTCTACACTCTTGTTTGGTGATCTTATGAATTCCCGTGGGCTCAATTATCTTTATGCAGATGATTCCAAGATCTATACATGCTGCCTTCACCTCTCTCCTGAACCCTGGTCCTGCAATATCAACTGTCTTTCATTAATTTTGAAATAAAGGTCTCACAGGCATTTCAAACTCAGCCAAACAGAACTTACTGTCTTCCTCCCCAACACCTCAAACCTCCCCCTCTCCTAAACTTCCCAAAACTGCTGAGGTTACAACCATCCTTTCAGTCACCCAGATTTGCAACCTTAGCATTATAACAGCCAGAACTTATACAGCACTTTAAAGTTGACAAAGCACTTTACATATGCTATCTCATCTGATCCTCCAACAATTTTGTGAGGGAGGTACTATTATTATCATTCCCATTTTACAGACAAGGAAACTGAGGCACAGGGTGGTTAGATGCCTTGTCCAGGGTCACACTGCTAATAAGTGTCTATGGCAGTTCTCCTGAGTATTCCTGACTCCGCGTCCTGTGCTCTATCCAACACGCCACCTAGTTTCCAAGGTTATCCTCAACTTGTCACTCACATTCATCTGACATATCCAATCGCTTGCCAAATCTTGTTTGATTCTGCCTTACCACATCTCTCACATCATTCCATTTCCCCCATCACAAAGCTACCACCCTAGTTCAAACCTTCCTCACCTCTCACCAAGACACTAGGAGTAGTCAAATAGATACAACAGTTTCTTAAAACAGTAGAGGGAAAAATCTTTATTATCAAGCTATTCCTTTGCACAGAGGACAGCCTAGAATTTTACTTCCTCTTCACCTTAGCTTCTTAGTATGAGAGAACTCATTTAGATGGCACAGGGATCCCTTCTAGTGCTAAATCTATGATCCTGTAAATAGTTCAGAAAATGGAGTAAACAATAAAGTGTATGAAAACAAAAAAGAGGCAAAAAGAATAGATTTTAAAGATCAAAGAATAAATATACCATTTGCTTTCAGCATAACTCTTTTAAGTGTCTATTAAAATCACAAAAATTATACTATCAATTTAATTAAAATAAATGTATCATATAATCTGTCCACTAGGGGGCATATGATGCCATTAAATTTGGATTAAGGGGAAACACTGAGCAGTAGGCCAAACACTATGAAATACATAAATACACAAATACAAAATCCTGAGTAAGATTGAACTCATATAGCTAAGCTGATGTTTCTAAACATGCAGAAAACAGCTATATAAGGCTCCATGTCCCTAACATCAATCCTTACTCTTTTGAGAGCAGCTTTCATTCTACTTTTTAACTTTCACACTGTCATTCATTAGACAAACAATCCAAGAAGAATGAATAGATTACTGGACCTCAAAAATGAATCTATCAGAAAAACAACTGGCAGAAGACGTATCAAAAAAGCCCTCTTCCCATACACTCCCCCTCCTGGTGCCTGAAACTTTATCATAGGCGATATATCTCTGTTTATTAAGTATTCTTCCATGATGCCTTTTAAAATTAAAAAACTCAAAAATTGTTAAGGCATTGTTTCAAACTTCTTAACATCAGAGCTCAGTAGAGACCAGTGGATTATATGGTCAAAGGATGGCAAATGAAGGAAAGGCAGAGATGCTCAAAATTCTTCTTTATCAGTTAACAGAGAGAGGTTCAATACACAGATATGCATAACAGTCAGGAGACCTAGATGGCAGTCCAGTGTCTACCACTGATTTGTACAAGTGTGACACCAGATGGGTAGTTTCCCAGATCTGTGCCGAAAGCCAGGAATTCAAACCAGGTCCTTGACTCTAAATCTAGTTTGTTTTTCTTCCCCTTCTACAATGTTACCTCTTGACTTCATACAGGATTTTAAAGTCAATTAATTTCCATTATCTCTGCTTCTTTGTTAAATGTAGGCAATAGTAGTTGCCTTTTACCCACCTCATAGCAGTTTGGATAGATTGCTGAGTTAATGTAAGCTGACTACTTTAAGCATTTCAGGCAAAAGTCACTATTTAAATAGGGATAACAGGGACAACAATATTGGAGTTAGTGCTTGTGGGGTATTCTCCTCCATTAAAAAAGAAGCTTGAAGTGACTGATCTCTCAGGCTTCTCCAACCTCTGAGATTATATAAATAATTTTGCCTGCCATGTCAATAATTTTACACAGATTTTAATCTCAATTGAAAGTGTACTCTCCCTCCTCAAAATTTTCTGGATCATTTTGGTTAGATATCTCCTGTCTATATACAATCATCCCTGACAAAACTTAATCTTTGTTTATGGTGTATTGTCCCCCTCCCAATTCTCAAACCACTCAACCCCCATGTACAAAATAAATTCTTTGAAGGGGGAAGTGGGAAGGCTGTATCATTTTAAAAAATCATACAATCCCCTTTAAACATCTCCAACAAGTTTTCACTATAATAATAATAATAGCTAACATTTATATATCCTTACTATGTGCCAGACACTGTGCTAAGTGCTTTATAATAATTATCTCATTTCATCCTCACAACAACCCTTCTAGGTAGGTGCAACTATTATCTTCATTTTACAGATAAGGAAACTGAGGCAAATAAGTTAAGTGACTTGCCCAAGGTTACACAGCTGGTAAGTGTCTGAGACTAGGTATGAACTCAGATCTTCCCGACTCCAGGCCCAGCATTCTATCCATTGCACTGCCTAGCTGTCAATACTCCAGATGGCAGGACTATCACATCCCTTGTTCTGAATACCTAACACTCTTATTGCAGCCTAAGATGGCATTAGCTTTTTGGTCATTCTGTCACACTACCAGCTCAAATTGAGCTTTCAGTCTATTAAAACTCTCAGATCTTCAGGTGAACTATTATCTATCTAGCTACTTTCCTCTCCAATCTTATACTGGTAAAGTTGATTTTTTTGAACTAAATGTAGGACATACTATACTTGTTCAAACCTATTACATTTCATCTATTAGATTCAACCCTATCTGGTAATACTATCACTATCTACATCACAGGGATATTCAACAAACATTTACTGGACCATTACATCGGTAAGGGACTGTGCTGGGTATATAAAAACAAAAAAACCCAGCCCCTGCTTTTGAGCTTTTTACTCTTACATCATGTACACAGATAACACAACATAATTTGAATATGGAGAACACTAGCAATTACTGGGGAAGGGGAGGAAGGCTTCACCGAAGAGGTGGTGTCTGAGTTGAGCCCTGAAGGAAAGTCAAGGCTTTCAAAGGCAGAGATGAAGGAGATTGGGGATGGCTTATACAAGGAAGGGATAGATGGAAGGTCAAGTTTGGGGAATAGGTAGTAGCCCCGTTTGAATGAAACAGTGCTTGAAAGAGAATACTGTAAAATAACACTAAAAAGGCAGGTCAGAGTTAGACTGTGGAGGCACATGAATGCCAGGCTCTGGTGTTTGTGTTTAATTTTTTTTGTTGTTTTTTGCTAGGCAGTGGGGTTAAGTGACTTGCTCAGGGTCACACAGCTAGTAAGTGTCAAGTGTCTGAGGTCAAATTTGAACTCTTGTCCTCCTGACTCCAGGGCCAGTGCTCAATATCCACTGCAACACTTAGCTGCCCTATTTGTGTTTTAATATTGAAGGCAATAGTGAGCCACTGATGATAATGAGTGGAAAGTGATTTGGTTATATCTGTGCCTTAGGAGAATAATTTTGGCAGCTATGTGGAAAATGGATTGGAGAGGGGAGACAAATGATGTTGGGGTAACCAGTTAGGAATTTATTACATTTCACTGAAAGGTGATGTGGGTCTGAACTAAAGCTAAGAGTAGAGCAGAAGAGGGCAGATGCAAAGGACATAGACATAGAAGCAACAAGACTTGGCAAAAAAAAATCAGATAAGGGATTTAAGGGAGAGGAAAAGTAAAAGATGAAGTGGAGATTATGACACTTGACAACTGGGAGAATGGCAGTGTTCTTAACAGAAATAGGTTAAGTTTGGAGACGAGAATATTTAGAGGGAAAGAAATGAGTTTCACCTTGGAAAGTGCACGTTTGTAGGACTCCCAAATGGAGATGTCCAGCAGGTAAGTAGAGGTGTGGGTGTTGGAGACAGCTGGTGGCAAAATGGAGAAAGCATGGGACCTGGAATCAGAAAGACCTGAGTTCAAATGTAACTTCAGACACTAGCTGGGTGTGACCCTGTTGTAAGTCACTCAACCTCTTGCTTGCCTCAGTTTCTTCAAATGTAAAATAGGGATAGGAACAGTACCTATTTTCCAGGGTTATTATGAGCTGCAAATGAGATAATAATTGTAAAGTGCTTACCATAGTGCCTGGCACATAGTAAGCACTATACAAACATTAGCTATTATTCTGTGGGGCTGGGGTCCTGCAGTGAAATTAAAGCTAGATATGCAAATGTGGGAATCAGAGAGAAAATTGAATCCATAAGAGAAGATGAGATCACTAACAGACATATATATATATATAATTTTATTATATATGTGTCTATATAATAAAATTATAAGGCCCAGGACAGAAACTGGGGTTCTCTATAAAGACTTGAATGAAGGACACCCACATTGACAGCAAATGATGATCCTGAAAAGTAAACTGGGAAAAAAAGGCAAACAGGAGTAGAAACAGTAGGAGGAGGATTATAAAAGGTAGGAGACAGTATTCAAGAAGAGAGTGGTCAACTGTGTCAAAAACTACAGAGATCAAAGAAGATGAGTACTGACAAAAAAGCTTTTGAATTTAGTTATCAAGAAATCACTGGTGACTTTTGAGAAAGAAGTTCCAATACAGTTAGTGAAGGTGGGGTTAGATGCCATATTAAATTGAGGATTGAAAAATAGGCGGGACGTGAGGAAAGTTGAGGCTTATAGACAACTCTTTCCAGGAATTTGGCTATGAACGGACGAAGAGATACACGATGCCAACTGGAAGGGTCAGCGAACTCAAGTGAGAGCTGTTTATTTTTTCAGATTTGAGGAGACCAGGGCGTGTCTGCAGGCCAAGAAAGGAGTCAGTCCATAAGGAAAGAGGAAGAAGTAGGGAATGATCCCAAAGGGCGAGATCCCGAAGGAGTCAGGAGGGGCTGTTGTAAGAAAATTACGCTAAAAAAAAAGAGAGAGGTGGTTGTTACTATTCAGCTCAGTCCCCTAAACCATTTCAGAGCCTCCCCTCCCATAGGCTTCCCCGGGAAGCCGCACTTCACGTGATCCTCCTCCCTGACTCGAGGACCCGGCTCTGACCTTCTCCACCTTCTTCGGCCCCTTCACCAGCTCGTGCCTTTTGGGGATCGTTCCCCCATCGCAGCCCATCTCTCCTCACTCGTTTCCGCAGTCTGCCTTACCGGTCGTCGCCAGAATCAACAGGAGGAACTTCCGGCGCACCGAGATGATGCAAGAGACTACCGTTGCTGTGACGACACTGATTGGCGGCGAGGGCGGAACTCGATGGTGAGACTGTGGTTCCCATGGAGACCGTTGCCAGGGAGCCACGCCTTCCGCCGCTGGGCAGCTGGGGCGGAGGAGAAGTATCTGCGGTAAAGAGGTGGCGGGAGGCTCTTCCCTCGCCCGGCCTTTGATCTTCTTTCCTCCCTGTTCTGCCTCGCCCACGCTTGTCAGGGCCTCGGTTTCCCTTTCTTCCAAGTCATTGCCACCCTCCCAACCTGCAGGAGGCTCTTCAGCCCCATCCTGAGGGGCTAATCTTTTCATCCTCCTCTGGGGGAACCTCGGGTAGCTCCCTCCGCTCTTGGGGAGATCCTGGGTAACTTAAGGCTCAAACCGCCCCTCCCTGTCAGCCTTAGTTTCCCCAGCTGTAAAATGAGAAGGTTGGATAAGCCCGGGGGTCCTTAACCTTTCTTGTTTCATGGACCCCCTGGCAGTCTGGCAAAGCCTACCAACCTCTTCTCGGAATAAATAATGGAAGGAAATGCTAAATAGCAATGAGAGGCTAGTGAAAATAAAGATTTTTTTTTCCCATCCAAGTTGGTGGATTCTTGGGGTATGGGGAGCCCGTGAACTCCAGGTTAAGAGCCCTTGGACTACAACTAGATGATCCCGAGGGTCTCCAGCTCTAATAATCGCACACAGGAAATAGAAAATAGGGAGCATATGAACCCCAGACAGAAAGTGAAGAGATCTAGGTTTTATTTATGGCTGTGCCTCTAATTGTCTTTGATCTTAGATGAGTCACCTAACCTCTTCGAGCCTCAGTTTTTCTCCTCTGTAAAATGGGTTGAACTTAATGATCTCTAATGTTCTTTTAGCAATGAAATTCTATAATACAAATGATGATAATCAGTGCCTGCCTACCTCACAGAATTGGTATGAAAATCAATAAGCATTTTTTTAAATTTTTTTTTTTGGTTGGGCAATGGGGGTTAAGTGACTGGCCCAGGGTCATACAGCTAGTAAGTGTTATGTGTCTGAGGTCAAATTTGAACTCAGGTCCTCCTGAATCCAGGGCCAGTGCTCTATCCACTGCGCCACCTAGCTGCCCCTGTAAACAAGCATTTTTAAGTACCTACTCTGAGCCCATGGCTGCTAAACTAGGGATAAAAATACAAAGAATGAAACTCCTTAGTCTCAAGGGGCTTACATTCCAGTGGGGTAGAGAACAAGTACTTATGATTGAGTAGGTACTTATGTATTTCCTTACTGAAGGAATGAATAAAAAACATCAAGTGTTTACTTTTGTGCTAAGTACTGTGCCAAGTGCTAAGCATACAACTGGAAAAATAAGACAGTCTCTGCTCTCAAGGAGCTGGCATTCTAATAGGGGCAGACAACATCTATGGAAAGTTTCAGCTACAAGTCAAATGGAAATGTCCCATGGTCCTTAGGATGCAGCAGTTAAACAGATGGTAATGTCTTTTTTCTTCTTAAATGACACATCCACTGATAAAAAACATACTAGTTTCTGATGTTGAGCTATTTGACAGAGCCAAAGATTTTAGTGACAAGAACTTTCTTTACTGGGTCTTCAGCCGATGTGTCTGTAACATTGACAGGAACAGTTGCTAGTCTTCATCTCAAACAGGGAAAGGGTCCCTGGAATGATGGCTGTAAGCAGTAGCCTGGAAACATTGCTATTCCCAAAGGTCTTAGGTTCAGGTTCCTGGGCTGTCTCCATCAGGGTTCAAGGGGAGATTGTGATGGAAGTGATAATTTGATTTGCATGGCACATGCTATCTCCCATATCTCTCTCCAGGTGTCTTGCTGCTTCAGCTAGGCTGACTGGCTTGCCCTGTGTATAGCAATGGTTTGGCAGTTGCTGGGGATGACTTGGCCCTTCTCCATAGGAGTTGCTTCCCAGGATTATATTTGTGAGGGCTCGGATAGAAGCAGGACCCAATGATTGTGTAGAAGGTATAAGTATACGCTTAATAAATATGAGAATGCAAAATCAATACAAGCCATTAGGGAAAGCAGGCAGTAGCACTTGGAATAAAGAAAGGTTTTTAGTAGAAGCTGTTGATTGAACTGTGTCATCATGCAAGAGATGTAGTCTGTGAGGCAGAGAGAAAGAGGAAGGAATGCATGCCTGACACTGAGAAGGCTAGTGTAAAAATATGGAGGTGGGTGATAGTGGTCCTGCAGGAGAAACAGAGAGAAGGCCAGCTTGGTTGGACTGTGGAACATGGAAAAGGAAGAAATACACAATAAGGCTGAAGATAGTTTGGGAGCAGTTTCTGAAGGGTTTCAGAAGCTAACAAGAGGATTAAAGGGTAAGTAAAGGATCTGTGCTTTCATTGGTATATGCAGAGGTGTCAAACTTACAGTCCCACTCTCCACTCCCAGCAAAACTGTCGAGTAAGGCCCCAATCAGACTAAAATATAATTGAGAAATGTTGAGCAAAATGAATAAAAATACAATATGACATAGATAATTTTAATTTATGGTTTTCTAAGTAAATATGTAGCCTAGGGATCTGTTTCTATTTGAGTTTGATATTACTGGTAAAGGGAATTCCCAGATAAGGAAATCATTTCTACTTTAAAATGATAAGTAGTATCTACATAAAACCAAAAGCAAGCATTATCTGTAATGGGGACAAAGTAGAAGCCTTTTCAAATAAGATCAGAAGTGAAGCAAAGATGTCCATTATCCCCATTAATATTCAATATTGTACTAGAAATGCTAGTTTTAGCAATAAGACAAGAAAAATAAATTAAAGGAATAAGTATAGGCAATGAAAAAACAAAGCTATCACTTTTTGTGGTTGATACCACTACTAGGCCTGTATTCCAAAGAGATTAAAGAAAGAGGGAAGAGGCCCATGTATACAAAAATATTTATAGCAGCTCTTTTTGTAATGGCAAAGAATTGGAACGTGAGGGGATACCCATCAATTGGAAATTGATTGAACAAGTTATGAACAAGTATGATGAAATACTATCGTGCTGTAAGAAATGATGAAAGGGATTATTTCAGAAAAACGTGGGAAGACTTACATGACCTGATAGAAAGTGAAGCTAGCAGAACCAAGAGAACAATCTGCACAGTAACAGCAATATTGTAATGATAATCACTTGTGAAGATTTAGCTACTCTGATCAGTACAATGACAGAACTCAATTCTAAAGGACTCATGATAAAATATGTGATCCAACATTAGATAGAGAACTAAAGGAGACAGAGTACAGATTGAAGTGTATTATCTTCCTTCCTTCTTTCCTTCCTTTCTTTTTCTTTCTTTTTGCCTTATCTTTTTTTTTAGAACACAAATAAATTTGTTTTGTGTGACTATATGTATTTGTAATAAATTTTATTTTCCTTTCCTTTGCATTGGTAAGGGAGGAAAAGGGGGAGGGGGAGAATTTGGAACTGAAAATAAAAGAACAAAAAAGTGTCTGCACTTAAAAAAAATGTCCAATAGTTGGTGATGCTGAACTGAATGAAACTCAGGAGAGGGAGGCTGAATATGTAGATCTATAAACTATGCAGAGATGATAATCAAATCCATGGGAGAGGGATGTAAAGAAAGAGACAAGGGTTCAAGACAAAACCTTGGGCAACACCAATAGGAGTTAAATGCAGTTAAATGAAATGCTATATTATTATTTTTTTTTTTTAGGCAACTGGGGTTAAGTGACTTGCCCAGGGTCACACAGTAAGTAAGTATTTGGTTTAAGGCCACATTTGAACTCAGGTCCTCCTGACTTCAGGGTCAGTGCTCTATCCACTGTGCCACCTAGTTGCCCTGAAATGCTGTATTTAAAAGTGTTTCATAAACTACAAGGTACTTTATAAAACCAAGTTATTGTTGTTATTATATTATTATGGTCTAACAGATGCCCCCGATACAGCCAAGCGGTTGGTTTGAGGGATGAAATAGGCAAGGGGAATTAAGGGGAGATTTGTTATTATTAGGCATTTATAATACTATACTTTTAGTAAGTAGGTATAAAGTGTTTTCTAACATTTTAGGGGTTGAAAGCATTTGGGAATTTAATCTTATCCTGTCTTTCCTCATCCCCCATCCTCTGGAAAGCATAAATATGGATATATATATATATATATATATTTGTTTTTTAAGTGAATGAATTTCTTCCAGGCTTGTGATTTCATTGGTGCAGGGCTTTTCCCTAGTAAAAAGTCCTACCAACACAGATCTATATTTTTTTCATCTTGTAGAGTTGGCTGGGGGTACTGAAAAGTAATTTATCAATGAACACAAAGCTATTATGTGTCAGAAGGTAGACTTCTTCATCTGAATTTTTCAGATTAAAGTTATTTTTTTAAAAAGAACTTTATCCAAAGAATAAAGAGGGACATTTCAGTACTTTGCCAGTATAGCTTCACTTGCCCTTTCTTCACAAGATGATTAGAACATGGATTTTAATTTGACTGATTTACAGACATGCTGTAAGTTGCAGAAGCAGCACTTGGGAGAGAAAAGGGACAAAAGGGATGGTGGGTGGGTACTGCATTGGAAGATATAGTTAGAAAAGTTTTATCTTCCCACTAGAGGAAATGTGTTGGCAATTAATGTAGCCACCCAGCTCTGACAGGAATTACTTGTGCTTATGCCTAGGCAGTGACATGATACTGAGCTCTCTCTATTTCTGGAATAGGGCAGCCTGTTACAGGCATAGCAACAGATTCCCAGTCTTCTGGAATCAGGAGAGGCAGCATCATCAGTTACAGCCAATTAGAAGAACAGTGTAGCAGGCTGGAAAGCACTGACATTGTAGTCAGAGGACATGGTTTTGAATTTTACCTTTTGTCACTGGTGTGACCATTAGAAAGTCCCTTAACCTTTCTGAATGTCAGTTTCCTCACCTGTAAAATAAGCAGGTTTGACTAAATGATCTCTAAGGATACTTCCAGTTTGAATCTGTGATCCTATGACCTCCTGACCATTCACGAAGCAAGTAA